TTGAAATTGCTTATTTAATTTTAATTGTACTTTGTTTAACCAAAAGTAGTTGTTCAGTTTTAATTTTTGATCGCGATATTTCGTTTCAAGCTTACGGAAAAGCTAATTAAATTACTTTTATAAATTTTCAAATTCTTTCAAAAGCGAAGTCCACTCGCGATTTTCTTTTCAGTTTTTCCATTTACAATAAATTTGCATTGAAAGGTGTATTGAATAATATAATGCAATAAAATCAAGTGGAGTCATGGTTTGATGTATATTGTAGTAAAAGACAGTTGTTTCAATCAAAATATTGTGTACTATTTGTCGCGAAATGAACAAATATTAAATACAGTAAAATGAAATAATTAATATCCTTTACTCAAATCACTGAACTTAAATATATATTTTTCTAAATCTTTTTCTCTTTATTTTGGTACTGAAGTTTGCTTTTAATTCATGTTTCGCATCAAATTGATTTAGAGTTATTAACAACCACTCTGAATTTTGTAAAATTTTATTATTACTGATGCATCTTCTTTCCAGCTATTAATTGTTTTTGTCTTTATCTGGATTCAATTAATCAGTTTTTGTTACAGAGAAACATCTTTATAGGAAGTATGAAGTTAAGGTATTCAATTTAGTAACGTGATGTGAAAATTATTTAAAATTGTACCTAATCCTTTTTAGTTTGTTTCGGGAAATATTCTGGTAAGAATCATTGAACCAACAAATTTATTACAGGTATTTGCTTTTATCCCTTGAAATTTTTATATAGGCAGGTTGTAAGTCTATGGTTATGGCAATGTAAATTTTATTTATTTTTTTTTTTGAATTATGTTTAATTCTTTTTAGATTCAGGAAGTATTGTGGTAAGGACAACCAAATCAACAAATTGGTTAGGTAGGACAATTATATCTTAAGGACCTTAAAGTTAAGTAATTGAATAAGTATATAATTAAGTTTAAACACTGCAGTATGTAATTAGGAAATTTTAGATTTAAGCGAATTTTTGTCATTATACGAGCGCTCGTATTCTTATCGTTAGTATTTACATGTAAAACAAATATGTAATTGCATATTACTAATTACAGATTTGTAATCAAAATGAAAAAATTGTAAGGTAGGATTAAGAAAGAAAAATATAAGTAGGCAAGTAGTGAATAGAGATAATGCTCCTTTTGTTGTTCGTTTGCACAACAGTCGAAACGTTTTGCAAATGTGCATCAAGAGGATGATGTTAATGAATAAAAATTTGCATAAATGGAGGGTGGATGGGATGAGGTAGGGCGGGTCTCCACCCGCAGCAACCTCCCCGTGGTGAGACCTGGGCAATCGTTATTATTTGATGGATTATTAATAATTGCATCATTATTTCAATGGTGCGCTTATTAATTATGCAGCAAATAATACGAGCGAATTGGCTGCGAAATTTATGCTTTTTCTTCTATTTAATCGCTGTTATATTTTTTCAGGAACTATGCCTTTGAGATTCTGAAGTGTTCTACATTGCAAATACAATTTTACGGAAAGAAAATTATTAATAATGAATCCATGGTTAGTATTGCTTAATTATGTTCTTATACATATAGCTATCGTAGCATACATGTGTCATTTAGGTGTATGCGAAAGGTGACGTACTATAGCATGTCGTTAGTTGGATGCAATAACTGAGGTGGCGCTTAAATCAGTTTCTGTTCGGCCTAATTTTCGATGAAACGTTGACTGTTTTACCGACGCAGAATTCCGAGTTCGACCTTGTAATATGATTGGTGTCTCATGTACCTTTTCTGTGAACACCAGCAGGGAACTCACCTGTCGGTGACTACTGTAGTTTCTCGCCGATGGTAATACTCACCTGTGAACAGCCTTAGCGAATTGCTCGAGAGATCGCACCTCTGTTCGATTCTTAATTTTAAATTAAATATTATCATCTAAATTGCAAGAGCTATAAATTTTACGAAATATTATGAAAGGTAATGTTAGGGAAAGTGAAACAAAAAAATTAATTCATTTTTATTTCATTTACCAAAATTTATTTTCAACTCTTACATTAAAAATCGTAGTTTCCTAAAGCTATTCTTGAATTCCACGCATAAAAGGATCATTATCAAAATTCTCGTTGCTCTCCTTCGTGCCTCTCCTCAAATTCGACGGGAGGACCTCTTCTGTGGCCTGCCACTCGTTGCCATAAATTGGTCCTGCCATGTTCGTGTCATAGTTGTTCGCTATGTAGTTTATCGAGCCAACATGATTATCGCTGTTCACATAATCGATTGGCCTGACCACGTGCACCTTCGAATCCACGTTTTGATAGGGGTCCGTGTCGATGGCATAATTATCAGAGCCCGTACGTAACAGGGGCTCCATGTCGCTGCTGTTCCGCATGTTGTTGTTGTTATTGATCAAATATTGATACCTCTGCGGTTCGTCGTAATCGCTGGAGTTCCAGCTGGAGTAGGTGTAATTAGAATTAACCGAAGGGAACCTGTAATCCGTATTGGAAATAGGATGTTCCGCTTTGAACGATGCGTTCGTTGAATCGATGCTGTGATTTGTTTGATCGTAATTGGTGGTTATAAATCGTCTTCCAAAGCTGCGACCCCAACCTCCACCACCACCACCACCACCTCCTCCATAACCACCGCCACCGGATGGTGGACCATAGCCACTGGATGGCGGAGGACCATAGGAATTGTCTGAAGGTCCACAGCAGCCTCCACCACCACCTCCTCCACCACCTCCTCCACCACCGCCACTTGCTTTCGTTAACAGAACGACTTCTTTGTATTGACCTGTAAAAGTAATATTGATGATGAGTATTGATGATGAACTTTAGGGTTGTTTAATTAGGACATTACCTCCTCCTCCTCCTCCTCCACCACCACCATGGCCCCCACCTCCTCCACCTTTCATGAATTTCTGCATCAACATCGCCATCGATATCATTAGGGACATGCCGGCCATCATCATACCCTTCATCGTTGCCACACCTGTTGTATATAAAATCATTTAATTTTTGTTCATATCTGTTTAAATCACTCTACGTGATAAGGAGATAAGGAGATTTTACCCATCAGTTTCATTTTGAGCATCATTAGTCCTGCCATCATCATCATCTTGCATTTACCACCCTTCCCGCCTTTTCCTCCACCACCACCTCCTTTGCCTCGTCCTGTGACAAATAGAATTCTCATTAGAAAATACTTTGATATGTATTCCTGGGATACGAACCTTCAGATACCCCGGTTTCATCGAACATAATATCAATCTGATTTTTCTCCCGATGGCCATTCCATCTTGGTAGTGTAATTCTCAGAGCAAACGTGTCGAAGAAGTCATTCACACTGCGTTCGATAGTGTCATTGACATCGTTGCTAGATCTACGAACGTTAACTCTCGTTTTCACTAGCTTGATCCGTTGACCCATTAAATAAATCTCGTTCAATTCCCTTATGGATTCTAAAAATCGACCGAGACGTTTTCTCGCGCAAACGAGCGAAAGATTGATGATACAGTGGCCTATGTCCTTCGTTGGAAATTCCGGGAAACCATCGTCCTTCGAAGAATCGTTCCTCCACGATGGCACAACTCTGATATCCACTCTGAGGCCATTCTTCCGGAAGTCAAATATTTGTCGACCAGAGCTGATGAAAGAATTTTATAAATGAAAAAAAATGATACAACCCTTCGCCTACGGTAATTAACACAGTGTCAAATGGAATTAAATTAACAAAATTCACGGTACTATTGGCGAGCTGCAGTTCTGACGATCCCATAAGGATCCACGTCCACCTGATCCTTGGTAATAATTCCATCGTTCGCCTGACTGTGGACGATTAACAGAAGCACAAATACGACGAACATCGGTTCACGCACTAGAGAAAAATCCTAGAGATCAATATCGGTCGACACGCGATCATCGACGAGGAGACAGACTTCCTGGTACCAGCTGCCAAAGACTGACTTCCGCTAATCCGTAATCGTTTATATACAACGAGATTTATGTCATCCGTTGGATTTTTCCAGCGCCTTGTCACGATTGCCATTTGTCGTTGGCCTGGTAAATAACTTAATAACAATCCTGACGCCCATTTCGTTCCTGCGGTGGTTGGGGACACTCCCTCGCAATGCGACACCGAAACAGGATGCGGTGTTTCGTGATTTCAGGGACGATTTGTGTTGCAAAAATCATAGAACTTCGGCGGCGAAGCGTGGTCGCAGTACCTACTTCCACTCTTGATAGTATCGAAGTGATAACAGATGAATTACTTGTTTGATAAGCTGCACCTGCTCCACAACTACCACGTGTTCCTGTTCGATCAGAGAATGTTGAGGAAATCTAACACACGGCGTTGTGAAGGGGACGACCTTGTTTCATATCAGTCTAATTGAACGACATGTTCATTTTGCAATTACTGTCTGACATATATAATTTTCTTCACCATACCGAGGCGAAGAGTAGCCTTCACCTTGCTTCAATAGACCGAGTCTGCTATTTTCTTTTCTGCAACTGCATTCACGTGTGAATAAGAAAATGGAATCATAGAAAGAAGGTTCTTTCAAAATCAAGCTAGAATTAACATTTTTACCACCTTATCATTATTTTTTCAAATACGATTCTATCGATCGACTCTGTTTAAATTTGAATGGAGATATAAAATTATAAAGGTCGTAGATTTCACGAAGCTAATGATCGTTAAATTGTTAACCCTCAAACGGTGGAGGCGGGTCAATATTGACCAAGACCTATGAAACGCATAGAACGCTATTTGAAGCTGCTAAAATTGAAACATGCAAAGCTCAAGTACTCGATGGGACGAATAGGTTGTACCGAAGTTTTTTAAAAACATAGTTTATTAAAACTTTACAATGCAATTAAATACATATAAATAACAATAGAAATCATGTACATGATTCAAGGATGATCCTTGTGCAACGACGATCAGCTGGAAGTCGTAACTGCGAGAGGGAAGAGAGGATTATGCTTGGCAATAATAAATACCTACGAATCTATGAGCATAACTATAACGGTGATCAAAGGGGGGAGGATGAAATGAGACCAGGTAAGACGACAGAAGTGACAGACCAACAGCACGGGTAATAAGAAAGCGAAACGAAATTACAGTAGGAGAGAGAGAGAGAGAGGATGTTGAAGAGAGGAGGTAGATAAAGATCAAAGAAGGAATCGTGAAGTGTGAAGGAAAAGGAAATCGGAAACAAGGTGTAATTCGGTGAGGTAGAGACGTGCTACTAGATGTCTGCTGGTACCAGCGGTGAGCAGCTGGTGCCTCTCGATGAATTAATTTTGCCGAAGCGATCGGCGGTCTCTCGCGTTTCCGTACTTCAATACAGCTTGGTGAACGGAATCGTGAATGGAATCCAAGGATCTACCGTATCCCGAATGGCCGTAACCGTGACCGTGATGTTCTTCGGAGCTGTGCGTGTGAGAGCTCGAGTACACTGGTTTGCTGACGATCTCGTAGGTGGTCTTCTTCTCGCCGCCGCTTGTCAAACTCTTTAATCCAACGATAGCTGACAACATAAGAGCCATCAGACCGGTCATCAAGGCTTTCCCGGCTAGCAGAGCAAGAGCACCAAATCCTACAGCACCTAGGGTGCCCTTCATCATCAACAATCCAGCCATCAGTCCACCGTTGCCACCCTTATCCTTCTTCCGTCCTGTGGAACGATCAATTATAGTGAAACGCATAGTAATTTTTCGAATGGATAGTTAATCGCTTGATTAGACTATTTCTCTTACCAGTTCCGACGCTTTGTCCTCCACCCAAACCGAGTTGAGCCAGCGTCTCCTCGTTGAAGTTCCTAGCAGCCTCGAAGGTCCTCGGGTCGAACAGTTTAATGGATATCGAGTGACTGTTCAGATAACTGCCGACTTTATGAACCAAATAAGCGTCCAGCCTCTTTTCCACGTCGTTGGGGAAATCTCGGGCCAAATTGGCGACCACCTCGGACGCTGGCACGTTGGCCGTGTCATTTTCCTTGATCACGGACACCCCAGGTAAAATGCTGATGTCCTCTTGCTCGGACAACCTGTCCAGGAAGGATACCACGTCTAACTTGAGGCAAGTGGCACTGTAGGACTTGCCGCAGTCTTTGCTCAAAGTGGAGACCAAACTTTCCGGCGACTCCTCGACCATCTGTTTCGAGGTACGTCTCTCGATCTCGCCGGTGACGCATCCGACGATCAGCAAAAGTGGAAGCACCAGAGCCTGTTGATGGAATAATTGAGCGAGTACCGCGAATCCCTTCATCGTGATGTTATATGCGAGCCTATTGGATCCGGACGCGAAGAGCTGGTCTTGATCCTGCTGGACGTCCGGCAGCTACGGCACAACGCGGAACAAAGTTGCTCGCGAAGACGATTGGACCTCGTTGAAGCTGACGGACGAGACGCGTACCGTGCACTGGACATACCCTCGGATAGTTGCAGTATATATAGAGCGAGTCACCGGGTAGTCCTTTTTCCTTTTTGCCTTTCGGCCGTTCCATACATTCTCCGTAGTTCGAGAGCAACACGCCGTCGACGTGCTCTCTTCTTTCGCGGCCTAGCAAGAGGAGGCGAGGGGTCCTTTCGCGGCCCGGCCGCCACCGCCTCCACCGCCACTGGCTCGCACCAGGCGAGAGGGAGCGTCAAATAGAGCGGAGAATTCGAATCTCTGTCGAATTTGCGGGGAAAAAAGGATATCCGGAGAGACGTCCTAATGAGAGCGAAGCCAGCTCAAAGGTGGGTGGTATCAGACGCATAGGTCCACTCAATTCGCTTCTACGCGACTTTCTTCCATATTCATTCCGTTTGCTCCACAAACATTTAAATAGCCAAAATTTTTCTGCTCTGTTGAAAGATGAATGTTATCGTTAACTGATCAACTATCTCATGAAATAGCTAAGAAGATAATTATTACGCTGTTGCGTATCAAATAACTGATTTTCAAATGTAAGAAGTTTGACGGGATTTCATGAGATATATGAAGTATACTGAAATAATCACAGTTCGATGAGGGGTTGTCAATCGTTTCGATAGCGACCGATAGTCGACCCAGCCGGAACCACTTTCCATCTCGACGACGAAATCGAGGAGGTCGGTGACCGTCGATCGGACAAAATCGAACCTGAACATCCGGCCGAGGAAATTGTTCACGGACGTTTCAGAAAATCGTTTAAACAAGGAGGAGAAGGACGTATTATTTCCCTCGACTGAGCGAAACGAGACGGAGGCCTACTTTGAATTAGCCCAGTTCGCAGTCGGGAGATCGGATTTTCGCGCTCCACGCTCGAACGACGACGCTTCAGACGGATCTGACGGCGAGAAAGTGCGCAAGCAATTTTCACGGACGCCTCTCGCGAGCCGCGTCTAACGCTTTGGAAATCGCGCGAGTAACTTGCTTTATCGCCTGATCGATCGTTTAATGAATTTTATCAGCGTTAACAATTGCATCGCATGATGCATATCTGATCCACTTTGCCACGCTCGAGAAAGTATTTCGTGTGTTCGCGCAAATCGATGGCCTTCTTCTATCGACTCTCTAATTCGACTTCCTTCGCGCCGCGTCGATTCAAATTGAAATATCAACTTATCATTTTGTTCAATGAAACGATCTAGGTATTTAGATCTCCTTGTTACCTCATTTTTGTCCACGAATCTGCGCGCACATTAACGCACTCGCATTACAGGAATTCTAGACTGCGCATTCCTTTGAAATTACATTTAATACCCGCGTCAAAGGAGCATGTATAGTTTCGAGTGCAATAAACGCGCAGCGTGAACGTCGCTTAAGGCAAGGCGGTATTTCACGCGGTCAAAACGATGCGCTCGCATGCTCGGCCGTCGAGTTTGGTCGGAAAAGAGCCGGTTAGCCTTCTTCTACGAGCATCTATTTCGCTACTTGTTACTACCTTTTACCGTAACGCCTTCCTTTCGTTAATAATCGAGCGATCTCCAGCCGGGTGTTCCTGTTTCGCGAAACGATCCGGCACAGAATCGGCCACTCGTTCGAATTCCACGATTCCACGCGCTGAATCGTCATCGAATTAAAACTTTTTCCTCGCGAATCATTTCAATTAAATTTCGAGTTTCGTAGAATAGATACTGGAAGGGGATCCTCTTTGTTCTATCCACGAGGAGATCGCTCGTTTTTATTATTGAAAATGATAGAAAGTATGGTATTAGTCTGGTTACGGTTTGCAGAAACGATAGACTCGGTTTTCATCGATCTATTGAGGACCGCCTTTCCAATCGCCATCGAGACGATCGATTGCGCACCAATTGTACCGCAAGTGAAACGTGAATGGGCGCTCCTCACGTTCCTCATAACTGTGCCTCGTATACTGTTACTATCCTTCTGGTATATTTGATACGCAACTCGATGGGCATAAACCATAAGAAGACCTTCAACCAGAACACCCCCACGAATTATCCAAAATTTCAAAGCTACAGAAAAATGCAAATGGGAAACTTGAATGCTACTCTTTTCATTCATTTTCGCAGGCTACTTCTAATCTTATTGCGGCAATAAAAGAGTAAATCATGGTTCTCTATGGGAAATCGAAAGCGTCGCGTACATGCAGCAACACTTGCAGAGGCGTGTTAATTCTATGTTGACGTTTCTTCAATAAATTCGTCGGCTGCAAATCAATCTGGGTTAAAAGCAAGAAAAATAAGTAAACACGTCTTAGTCATCCATTCAATAATTGAGTTTGATTTTACAAGACTATCCCTGTCTGTCTGGCAATTGGGTCAGTTCGTGTTCCAAGTTGTTCGCTTTTTTACACCTCGACTCGCGATTTTTCTTCTGATTCGTCAATGGTATTACACATTCGAAACGGTGAACGTAATTGAAGGTATTTAGCCTATTTTCTCTCGAAAATTTAGACAAATCTTCGAGAAAGTTGACGCGAGAGTTTCTTGAACATTACTCGATGATTCTCAAAGAAAACCTTTCTCCTCAAAGAAAAATCTCATAATAGTCATTAATTTTCTTCTATAAGAAATTTTAGTCCTTCTAGTACCATGAATCTCATGAAACAGTTCATTGTCATCGAATATTTACATTTTGACAGCTTGCGTTAAGAGAAATTCATTTTGCAAATTTAATCAGCAGCACGACTTTGTAGCTGTTACAGATGCCGCGTATCCAGGTGTTTATAAACGCATTTAAGAACAGTTCCGTGCAAATGTGTTCGCGTTATCGATGCGTGGGTCCGGTGAAACGCGAAAAAAAAAAAACCAGAGTGCTTCGACAACAACCGATCCCGATTGCTGGCCGAGTGGCTGCGTAGACCTCGTTAATTCGAGAACGAGCATCCGTTATGCGCTCAAAATGCATCCTGCGCGTTCATACTTTCGCATTTCCTTTTGCAGGGTCAATCCGGAGCGCTCCAGAATATTGCAAGAACCCCTAAGTAGTATAAATCATCTTCTTGTCGAAAGCTTTTGTTAAATCATCGTAAAGGAGCTTGTGAAAATTTGAAAACCTTAGAACACTCGTGTCAGTACATTGCAATCTTTTTACTGACTCAAGTGCACTTCGATTTAGAAAGAAACGACATCTAAAGAGATAAAAATAGAATAAAGATCTATTTGAAGAACACTAAACAGTATCCCAAAGAAGAATACAAAATATTTAATAAATCTACCCTGTGTCAAAAAATGAAGCTCCGAATCTACTTAGAATCCTTTCAAAGTTCCTGATTCGTTTTGAAATATCTGAAAAGAAATGCCTAATCTCGATCAAATCATCTTACTCGAGAGATCCTCAAGTACGGTCTGATCTCATTAAGCGTTCTTCAGCTCGAGTTCCATGCGACTCTTGTCGGTGCTGTCCTCTCGATCGTCTCGTATATACCCGAGGACTCTGCCCTCTCCATGATTGAATCACAACCGATACCGTTGCTCGACGTCTCGCAGCTTCGAGAAGGGGTAGGAAACAGGTGGGAGTCCACGTGGAGGCAGTGACCCACTAACCTTGATCCTGAAGATCCATCGGGTGGGAAAGATGATCGACCAATCGGCTGCGAGACCAGTTCACCCACCTTTCTCGTCACAGTGACCCCGATTCCTTCCTCTTCCTACTCTCCCACCTGTTCTCTCCCTACCTGAGCGGACGTGCATTCTCTTCGGCATCGCCTTTTATTTAGGTCGTTTGCCTTCTCCTCCGGCTAACCTGCTTACCTACCCGTGATTATAGACTTCGAATTATTTATTTCATTATTTTCGACACCGAATCTGCCAGGAACGATCCACGGAAAAGAAAGTGTTCGATCGACGAACGATTGATTTCAGCGCAGAAATTCAAATACAAATCTAAAATTTTACTTCGGTAAAAATGAGGCAATCCTTTTTTGCCAATTGAATACTTACGATTGGAAGGTTCAAATGAAAAAAAAAAATCGAGATCGTAGGAAAAGGAAAGGCGATGTCTTTATTCAATAGCTCGAGCGTAAAAAAGGTGACAATAAATAAAATGAGGGGATGAGGTGGCGAATGGTGACGAAGGTATGTTTGATCAGAGGATTAAGGGATGTCTTGGAAGGGATATTGTTCGGGAGCGAATTCCGGTGCCCAACCCCTGTAGGGTTGATTCACTTCCTCCTGCGATCTGTGCCAGTGTTCGTGATGAATATCGGGCTTGGCAACCCCGTAAGTGACTCTGGCTGGATACGGGGGCGGTGGTGTCAACAGAGCTTTCAAAGCCACCGCTCCAGAGAGAAGAAGGGACAGGAGCCCTGCGCCGAGACCCTTGATTCCTATTAAACCGATCAGAGTGATGACGATGGGCAGGACGATCATGGCCTTCAGTTTCAGGGCCAACAGGAGCGGCAGCATGATTTTCTTCAATTTAGTTCGCGCTGCAATGAAAGAGAAATAGTGTCGAATGAAAAATTCTGATCAGTTCGATGGTGATTGATTATGATTGTAATTATGATAAGTAATTTTGTGTCCATTTTCGGCGGATCTTTCAATGGATCGAGTGAAATTCGTCAGAATGATTGGCTCCGATGCTTGGAGGGGGTTTCTAGGAGCCTCTAATGACCACTTATCGGTGAGTATCTACTTTCTTCGACATGTGGCACTCTCGTTCAAGGTCCTCGGTGGTCGTGCAACCGTCCCAGAAACCCGGAATCCCAACGACGGCCCACTTTGTCCCGATCCCTACCACGACGATCGGTGTTTTCGCGGATGCGTCGCAAGTGGGACGCGTCTTCTCGGCTTTCTACGCTCGGCTCCGCTACCTTTCCGTCTCGCCTCTCTTCCACATCGCTCTACCACGTCTTCTTCGTCGCTCATCTCGATTCGGGTAGAACGAGAAAAAATCTGGCGGAAGTTGAAGGAAAAGAGGGCAAGGAAAAGAGGAACGAGGTGCCAGATCGTTGGCGAAGCCAATCGAAAACCCCGTCACCGGAAGTCCTACATTTTGGCCAATCGTTTCTCGAGCTCGTGGCTTACTTTCGTGGTATTGGAGGGACTTTAGAAAGGCGAGGTACTATAAGTTCGCGCCCGTCGACCGATCTATTCAAACCGATCCGGCGTCGAAGATCAAGACGTCTTCTCTTGTTCGCGAGATAAACGATCTTGTGGAATTCGTTCTTTGAAGAACGGATAGAATGTTGCTCTTTTGTAGGTTTCAGGTGAAAAGCGACGGGAGAAATGTTTCAGCGTAGAAAGTTCCTTCGAGCTTTTCTTTTAAATATATTGCTATTTTTTCTTTCAGTAGATTCTATTGGAAGAGAAAGGGATTTTGTCTGTGTTCTTCTTCCTATTGTTTTAATGTTACACAGTGGAATGTTAATGATTTTAAAAGATCCCTTTCTTTTTTAATTTATCTATGTATTTAGAATAATGTACCAGTTTTCCCTTTCTGTTTCAATGTTGAAACAATGGAAACCATAAAGACAAATCATAGATAAAAAGATAGAAAGCTTCGTATCTATCATACATTATAACAAAAGTAATAATTGAAGTACTTCTATCTTTAATCTTAAATTTTCTTAATGAAACTCTAATCAAATTCAAGAATTCTATTCAAATATTACGTAATAAGCATCTCCATAAATCTCACTCTAAAAAGATTAACACGTCAATTATCATTGGCATCACCTGTAGCTATTATTATAAACTGAATAGAGAAGAAAGGGAAAGGAAATTCTAAATAACAGAGATTTCATTTTCTCCAGAAATAATCTCACCTTCGGAAGCTCCCTTGGTCAGTCCTCTGAGTTCAACCCCCATGTCTTTCTGTCCTAGGGCACGGCCAAACATGTCAGCCGAAGTGCCATCGTTAGGTAAATGCAGTTGAATTCTTCTGCTCCTGAAAAACTGTTCGATTCTGCTCACTAGAGGATCCTGGCTGGATCTGGCAGTTTCAACTTCCTCATCGACGTGCATCTTCTCCAGGGTAATCATGTCCCCATAGATCTTAATGGTGTCCATTCGATTCAGATTATCCATCGCTCTGGACAGTTTGTTCTCCATTTGTTCCAGGGCTGTGGCGTCCTCTGCGGCGACGAACGCCAGCAGATTCAACGTTAATGCGATCAGCAACTTCGCGTTCATCGTGATGGTGTTCAATCGATATCGCGAGGCAGAAACAAAGATTTTGACTGTTCGCCCCGGGGCAATTTTTCTTTTATACGTCGAATGGTGATCGATGGTGGGGCCAGTTTGAACCATTTGGCAAGCGACGTGCAAGCATCGTGGTGTCAAGAATTTTAATTTCGTCTCTTGCCGATCGCTGCACACCACAGCCCCGTCTCGTGACGTGCCGTCTGCCTAATAGAAACTAATTTTCCTTTTACACGAGATCACTTTCGAACGATCCTCATTTGCTATTTCTTAGATTTTCTACGGCTAGTTTGAGAATGCACAGGGGGTGAGAATTAATCAACGTTCTTTATGATTCGTTTATTAACCCGTTCACTGGGATTGCAACTGCTTCATTCTTTAGTTTAAGTTATCATTTGCTCCCTTGCGAAATATTTTCTACGAATACCACTCGGAATTTTCAGACGATCGCCATGACAATTAAACTGTAAAAAATAGTATAATATATAGCTTGTACGACGACAAAGATGAGTTTGAAAGGCAAATTGAAGGCTTTTGAAACGGTCCTGGACAATGAGACGAGTTTCCAAGTTTCTCGTGTACATCATATTCAGAGGACGGTTTTGTTAATAAGTTTCTGGTGAAAATTAGATTTCCGTGTCCGTTCGTGTGACACGGAACGGCATGCAAAACCGGCGTGTCCCGAATGTTGTGGGTCGGAAACAAGAGAAACGGAACGCGCGACGAGCAGGACAAAGACGCACGAATAAGGTGGAAGGAAAAGAAAGGGAAGGAGAACGCGAGAAAAGAGGGTACAATGGCGGTGGGAGTGCAAACGAAGCGTAGGTATGTCCGCATCCGAACGGAATCGCATATGAGCCAGACCGATTGTCGTCGATCCGCGCCGCGATAAAACATGTCGATATTTTACGTTCCTTCAAACTAATCACGTATTTACCGAGCGTTTTCTATGCACCTTCACGCCTCGGCCAGCCCGAACGCGCATAAATAATCTCAGCGAAGTAGAAATCGTGCTTTCGACTCGCTGTCGATCGAAACGTAGGACTAAACTCATCTCCAATAGAAAATGGATAATCACTATCGCTCTATAATTTATAATAATAATTGAAAGTTAGAAGAAGCAATCTTTACTTTCAATCTTATCTTAATTGCAATGCACAGATTTACTAATTAGATCATGAATTTGATGAAATAATAATATTAAGTGTGATATGTTTGCAATGATTGTGTCAAAAGGTTCGTTTTGGACATAAATAATTTATTAATCCACAAAATCATCGAATAATTTACGTGATCGATTAGCAATAAATATTAATCTAACAGTCGAGAGGGAGACTGGCGATCATCACGAAATGCACCAGACTCGAATGATACATTCATTCTTTTTCGTTCATCAGGGAAAAACAGAGTGGCATTAATTGGCCTCGTTGGTGGCGATGGGTGCCTGGGCAGAGTACGCCATCGAATGGGCATCTACTTTTCCATTCTGAACGTCGAAACTCCTCTGGTAGTATCCTTGAGGTTGAACATTGGTTGCTGCACCAGCTGACCAACCTTGGTTGCCATTGTCCAACCATGCGGTTGGTTGAGTATTCTTGCTGAAGAAGTTGCCGACTCCGGAACTGCTGCCGCTACCGAACAACCTCTGGAAGGCGAGAACACCGGCCAAAAGGAGAGCGATTTTGCCGACGAACAAGGCCTTCAGGACTAGTAGACCTAAACTTCCAAGGACCAAGGGTACAAGGGCGAATAACTTTATAGCTGCTGCTGCGATCAGAGGCAGGGCCATTTTCTTGATCTTGGCACGGCCTAAAAATTATACAAATTATTTGAAATGCTTGTCACAAAATTAAAATAGTCAACACTTTCAGATACTTGGAATTAGAATTTATGGGAGCTCGGCTTTTACATCTCGAAATCGAGGAGCCTAATAAAACCTGGAATTTGGGACAACACTGTATAAATTCTATATCCCAAATGAATTCCCTCGGTAGCTCAGAGAATTCGGAAACTAGGAACCGAGTAAAAAGTCCGAAATCTAAATCTATCAAGGCGATAAATTCTTGGCAAATATGCATACATAAAAGCAACTATCCGAAAGCATATATGCGTCTCTGTTAGAGGCCGAATCTTAAATACCGCTAATGAATGAGCATAAAACAGAAGATGAACGAGTGTCTTCCCGAAGTAGAGGTACAATTTCAGAAAGAAAGCGAATCGGTGTTGAACGAGGAACGAGTTTATCCGGAACAGGTTGTTGCGGTGAGTATAGATATCATGAAGGTGAAAGGCTTGGTGAACAGATTATTCGTTCATACCGGTGACGCGTCGGGACATCATCGCGACAAGGGTGGGAAGGATTGCGTAATAGGCGAGGCTTCTATCATAGCTGAAGATAGAAAGTTACCTTCGTTGAGAGCCCGAGAAATTGATCCCTCTTCGGGCATGCTCAGCTTCAGGCTGTGAGACTTCAAGAAGGACATTGCCGATTCGTACAGCATACTAGCCAACTTGATGGCCCTGTCGGACGTGTCTCTAGGTAGTTCGTTCATGATGTCGACCTCTGTTTTCAGGTCCTTTCCATTGCGTTCCACTGAAATTGAAGCTTCGTTTATTTATTTGTCAGGCAATAGCACAGCCATCGTGTTTGGTCCTCGAATCTCCGAAGATGAAGACAAGAATAAAATGAAAGACTCGAATATCATGAACACCGAAGGGTTTTCAACTCACACGGCGTTTCCCGGACAAACTTCACACCATCGAGGATCTCGATGTCGCTCGACCTGGCCGCTTTGTCCAGGGTGCCGATGGTCTTCACGAAGACACAGCTGAACAACGCGTTCTCTTGCTCCATGCAATCGAGATTCCTGTTCAGTTGCACGTTATCGGTGTCCGGCATGGGCACAGCCATCGCAGACGCGGCGATAAGTCCCAGAATCACCAACTTGTTCATCTTCGTTTATTAAAGTGTATCCACTTGCACTTGGTACCGCGAAACTACTACCGTTCGATGAGCACGTCCTTCGGAAAATTTTCGGAGCAAAGTGTGATCTGACCCTCCGTAGCTTCTATCTTTATAGGTGTGCACCAACAGGGACCCTCCCCAATATCCCCACTCTAACCGATGACGCGTGTGACGACGACAAACGGCCAACGCACACCCAGCCGTCATCGTTGGTACACGTCTGTTGTCCACCTCTTCGCGGAAGCAAACTTTCTTCGATAATTTTTTAAACAAACGTCCGACCGACTCTTTCGTCATTCGACTATGACTTGCCGGTAGGGCCCGGATTGGTCTAGGCGGTCCTTCGATATTCATTCACAGAGGTGTCGAAATTTGGGTCAGTAGGGGAGGTAGCACGCTTCGAATGATGAAATTTCGATGGTCCAACGATGCATTTTCAGTTTGATGCGTGAGAAACATTGAACTCGGAAACGGGGACAGATTTAATCAATCCCTGTAACATTAAAATGGTACTTTGATTTATTGAAGTCAAAGATCTTCCTCGAAATCCTAAGAATCCTGGTGCAAATAACTTTCATGGGATTCCATTGACTTCAGTAATTATCGAGTGTGTGTATATATGTATATTTCTTAAAATCTTCAATCGATCAAACCATTTTCATTTTCAAGCTCAATCAGGTGTGCTTTTAACAAACAGGTAAATGCACTGTTCTAGTGATTGAAAATATTCCTCCTCCAAAAGTAGCTCGTCTCCCATAAGGAATTCAAACGGGACCTAGAATTTAATTCAACCTAATCTCCTTTGGTATTGAGAACACTGTTGTCCCTTAGAAATGTCTTTGAAGGAATAGGTGCATTCAGGTGTGTCCACGTGCACCTGAGCTGCTCACCTTGACCCAGAGACACGGTCAATTGTCGTCTGACGCTAAGGAATTACATCGTCGACGGGTTTTCTGATATAATACTCATCTAAACAGTTTCCCTTTTGTTTTGTTTCAATGCCTTGGTAATTATCGCAACGAAACCCTTCCTGAAACTCTTCTTAATTACTTGTTCTAACGAAAGAAACGTTAGACCAAATCCAAATAATCTGATCAAGTCGGCCGAAAATTAAGTCTCAAGGGATTAATCGAGTCAGCCATTTAAGAAAGTATGTCAGAGATCGAATGCCTATGGTTCGAATGCGATTAACCGAGTGGTAGCAAGTAGTATAACATACGAAAGGCGCGACTACCGTTCATTCTTCAATTTAGATTTACCGAATGATTGTAATTCGACGGACAATCAAAAGTGGCCCAGGTAATGTCATTCGTGAACAATGTACAACAATGCGTCTCTGATCGGGGTCATTTTTGGAACGACGATCGGCTCGGAATGGCGACAGCCTTATTTCGCGAGAACCGCGCTATTGTCTCGGTCCCGAGGCTCTTTAAATATTTAACAGCCGCGCGAAACTTCGTCATCTCTGTGTTAACGGTATCCGTTTACAAAGCAATAAATTTTCGCGATTAATTTTCTAGGTTACGCCCGTGCTCGAAACGTCCACTTCCGATCGTGATACTTGAGAGAATCAGAGGGATGAAGAAGAAGAGACGGAGATCAAGAATGCTAATAGGAAGTATCGAACGGTGACATTTTTCAATGATTACTCACGTTGCTTTCGACGATGATTCAATTTCTATTGCGTATGAATTACTTTCCTTCGATCGCCGACTCTGTTATTTCGACTTTCCATTGACGGTCACGCGTAGGATATTTAAAGAAACTGACGATAAAAATTGTTTTCTTCGAAGACGTTAATTCTTCCTTTTTATTTTGGAAAAATATCAGAACGTATTGGAACTAGAAGGGTTTAGGTCGGTGACCTACTGAGACCGTTCTATTCAGCACTGGTCCATTCCACGCTTATCTTTATTATTTCTTGACTTACCTGGACTGCTGAAGCGTTTCTCCGAGCTGCTTTCTTTCTTCCGTGTTTTCTTTGACGTGTTCATGCTTTTGGAAATGTAAACGCAACGTTACGATCATTGCAGTGGAACACTTTTGTCAGTTCGACGATCAGTGTCAAATACTTTTGCAATAATGAAAGAAGTGTACCTTTAATTTAGCAAATATCGCAATTTTCTCTGTATTGTAGAAAAAAAAACATTTTTTTACATTTAAAATAATACGTTTTAGTACTTTCAGTAGTGAGTTAGAAAATGAGGGTGATCGAGTGGAAACACTTTCTACGGTCTGCTTCGTTTCTTGTTTGCTCGTGACTCTCGAGCCAGTCGTTTCGTGTAACAAAGCAATTAGCAGATTCCGCTGCTGTTAATTCGAGATGTGTTTTGCAAGAGCAAAGGAAATGAGAATTTACTTCGAGGTTCAAGTTTCTTCAAATAAAACAAGGTTCTGTTGGAAGGTATAGGAACTGGGGTATGAAATATACAATAGACTTTCAATTTTTAACAAGAATTTTTTACTTCCTTTTACGTCGTTCTCTGTAATATTTATAAGGCTCCGATTCGATAGCATCCTCCGTCATTTCGAAAAAATCCTGCCTTTTGTATTTATTCGCAGGCAAATTCACCACCTCGTAGCCACCCCCGGAATGACTTTGAGCCACCTTCTTCAATCCCACAATGGCTGCCAGAATCAGGCTCATCAGGCTGAGGACCACAGCTTTTCCGCTCAAAACCGCCAGGGTTTTCAACGCGATGGGTAGCAGGATGGATTTAATTAGCATAAATCCGACGATCAGGGGTATGAGGTACTTGTTCAGTTTATGCTTCTTTCTTCTTCGAGCTGCAAAATATATTTCTTTCATTTAAAAAATGACAAATCTTCATATTGAATTTTTCTATTCTATTTTTGTGGAGAAACAAAAGATGCAACGAGTAATTCGAGACATCAGAAGCAAAAAGAAAACGCTTCTTATTAGTCAGATTTACAAAATGGACAAGGTAATAGAGTTAACTGGAGTGGAAACAGCTCATGGCTTTTATGCCGACCATCCACGTGCCGTGAACGTATTATGATATGTATTACACGTTGCTAACGAGCCAGTGTAATTACACGGTTATTTAGCATCTCTTGATCGATGCACAACCGTGACATTCTTCGATCCGGACGACGATCGATGTGGAATTTTAATTGTTATTTATATGAAACAGAAGCTAACGGATAAAATAGATGTCAAACTATGAAATATATTTCTTTGAATCCTCTTTTGATGTCCTAGACTCTTTATCGAATTTTATCTAATTATTTATCCAGAAGACTCGATTTAAATACCTTCGACAGAAAACCGTCCAACAGGAAGAACATTATCCACCACATTGGAAATCCCATCACCGACCCAGTCCACAGGATCTCCCTTGTCCTTCAACTGCAATTTCCATCGTTCCTGCATCATCGTAGGTTGCACGGTTTCCGCTGCAGTTAGAAGAGGCAAGACGAGCAACGGAAACAGCAACAGCATCCTCTTGTAGCATCTGATCGTTCACCAACGATACGATCAAAAAGAAAATTAATCCTTTTGATGAAGAATGAGAATATCCACTGTATCTCACGAAAGATTAAATATACATCACTTAAAATGAATAACTAAGCACTTGGCGATCATTAGATTGTCCGAGATTCGAGTTTGAAGAGGCTGAAACACCAGGGACCGGCCAGCTGGCAAATGAAATGTTAACTGACATTCGTCCTAGACCGGACCATTAGTTTATATAGGAGGAACGTGAAAAGCCAGAAGAAGGAGACCACCATCTAAGTTGGTACTGACGCGTGACGAAGGATTCGCCGTCCATTCCCGTCCACCACCGTCTCTATTCTCTCCGATCATTGGACGACGGTGTTCCTGGACGCAGGGGGGCCGATACGGACACCTGAATATTTTTATGGGTATTGTTCATCATCGTTGTTGACTACCGCTGTTCTTGTGGAAAGAACATGCCTGGTCTCGATAGTTGATCGAGGTTCGTTTCACAGCCGAATAATTCGTTGAACGAGTTCGCAGCTGAGCCGGATTATCAGACAGCGCGGCGGCCTGTTTACGGGAACGGAAACCGCGCAGAGGGTGGCAGAAGAAAACGGAAACGGAATCGCGTGGCATCGTCGAATAAAACGTCGGATAATCGTGAAAGATATCGATAATGATAATGAGTCGTTGCAGTTTTCATTGATTTCTAGAATAACTATTCTTAGCCAATATCACGAGTCTTAGAGAAATTCTAACAGAGATCAATTGTTTCCTTTCACGCCAGGAACAGTGTTTTCACGATTTCTTGGAAAAATCTTTTCCAAGCAACTCCGTGTCCCACGCCAATTAAACAATCAAGATCCTAACTGTTATTTTTCTGAAAAAAAGATAATAAATAAAGCGATGGTGTCGATGATACACCACGACACGCAACATTCGAGCATCGAGAGAAAGAACAAAAAGAGGACCGCAATGATAATAGTGATTCGGTCTAGCTAGGTTTTCGTCCTCTCCTCCTCTCTATTTTCCTTGATTCCCCCCCTCGTTGTTCATTGTCCCGTTTCTCGTGCAATTATTCGTGTCCCTGTGTACGCGCAGGAAGCAGCGAAATTGTCCTTACAATGCTCTTTCAGCTGGCACATGAATAAAACTGTCCCGTCGACATCTAGGTTGCCTCGCTTCATACGCGAGAGACTCGTGTAATGTGACCAACAACGTTTCGTTCGACGATCCTTCCCTTTCGCCAATTTTCTATTCTCTTTTTTGTTCGGCTAACTGCTCGAGAAAAGCGGCACGCCGGCTTTGAAGTTGGCGGAAGTTCAAGTTCAAAGTTCTTATTAATGTTCTAGGTAGAATAGGTACCTCCAAAAAATAATGTTATGAAAAATTCTTTAATGAAAAAGAAAATGGTAAAACTGTGTTTGACAAGAATCTGAAGGAAATTTAAAATTGTTTGAATGTTGGAATCCTAAACGATAATTTTAAAGTTACGATCTAAAATCATCCAAATTCTCTCTACAATAAATGGTACCTTCGCGATGGTACTTTACATCCACCCAGATTCGAGGAATCGATCATAATTCGCATTAGCTCGCGATCGGCCCGGTTAGCAGCTTAGCGTAACTCAAAAATCAGCCTGCTTGTCGACAGGTTGCTCTGCACTGTCATTAAGTCCCTCCTCGATGTCGTGGACCCACCCTCGCGAGTTCCTCGAATCCGCTTCCTTTCCTCGGCCACGCGAGTTGTACCGTTTCACAATGTTACCTGACACATATATCGTCGACAATTTGGATCACAGTGCTTACCGCGTTCATATATTGCCCGCTCGTCACGCGGTGCTCATTTTTCACGGACTGTCGATCCTGCTGGCAACTGAAGCGTGCCCGACGTCGTACCCCGGTCAGCCCCCCTCGGAACGTCGTCGAGGAATCAAGAACGTACCAGTTACCTCGCGGTCGTTCGCTGTTACAGTCCGTTCTAACATTGAACGTCTATTAACATTAGTTGATCCTGAAGATAGCGTCGCGAACCAGAATCGATTTCATCGAGAAAAATCAAAGAATCACTTTAAGTGCAGGTGGACCAGGATCTTCTTCGTCCAGTGCCAAGCTGAAACCTTGTAAGTTCATTTTCTAAGACGGTGTTTTCATTTTGTTGCGTTATGTAAGAAATAATGTCCATTCGTGAGTTTGGGGTTGCTGTCTCGGATATTATTGACATTAACCCCTGGAAATTGAAATTGGAATATCTCATGGACATTTTAGACTGCACATTTTGAAACTAATGCTTTTTCAGTGATATATTAAAAGAAGATCGATAGAAATAATGACGCTGGAATTGTCAAATCTATCAACCCTTTAGTAATCATCGGAAAAAGAAACGAAACCTACTGGAAGGTGAATGTTTTGGGTGCTCATGACCTGGAGAGCTCGCGAACACCTCGAGGATGTAATTGAGAGCCGTGATTGATCGTGGACAGCGAAGATGAGATCGAGAGTGAATCTACTTGCGATTCTGCTAACCTTAAGCTGCGTGGTCCGCTTGTTGGAAAGTGCGAAGGCAGCGGAGAAGCATACGAGCCACAAGGAACATCCTGTAGGGAAGAAGGTCATCAAGGAGGTTCACAAAATTGCTCCGCAGAGTACGGTTCTCGTACGAGGAGAGGAGAAAACGAAGGTAGTGAAGACTTTAACGAGGAACAATGGCCTGGCCGTGTCGAAAGACTTTGAGAAACCAGGTAACGTAGAATTTAATTTGGGGAGCATTCAGGATCGGAAGGATAAGAAACCTTGCTAAATAAATTTTGAATTCATTTAACAATTCAGCTCAGAGTAAGAAAAAGAATAACAACCATTATCATTAAATCTCATTTATTGTATTAAATCTCAACGCAATCGTTACAATCATCCGAAGAAGAAATACCAGTAAACGGAATAAATAATTGCCTTCAGGTCATCCTCGACGAAAGAAACGGAAGATGGACCGTACGATGATGGCGTTGTTGATGGCCTACAAGATGAAGTTCGTCGCGTTGATTCCAACCCTGGTCGGAGGTTTAATCCTGTTGAAGGCCACCGCGTTGTTAGCAGGATTCTTCTTCGCGTTATTCGCTGCGGTTCTCGGTCTGAAAGTACATTGATGGAACGGTTCCATCAAAGCGTCGCGACGTTGAAACGACAACGGGAAGCATCGTACGCATCGTGAGACTGACATGACACTTTTATCCCTGGTAGTAGCTTGCGAAACGGTTGCTTCGACAACAGTCTTCGTCTATCGTTATTCAACGCGTTAACTGCCGTGAATGTTGTTTAATTAAATAAAGAGAAGGTCTACTTTGGATAATGTTATATAAATTAATGTTAGGTATCAAATGAAAATGAATTTTCATTTTCACAGTGGCAGTTAACGCGTTAATCGTAGAAAAATTAACAATAAGTTCGTGACAATAAATACCATGGCGTTGAACGATAAATACTTTGTGTCTTACTGAACTAAATTACTCGAGCGTGATGAGGAGACGATGAAGAACTATGCGACGAAATGACTGTAGGTCTGACTCGCGAGTCGTTTCAGTCGCAAAAATTACTTCGACTCGGTTCCGCTATAAACTCGCGTGTTTGGAAACGTTTGACGACCAGATTATCGCGTCAAATCGTATCCCGGTTGATGAAGATTGAAAATGAGTGGCAGCTGGGGCATTCCGTGTACTATCGATGATCGCGTGACTTCTTGCGGACATATTTATCGTCGTTCGTTTTGCTAGTAATTATTGCTCGTTCTCGACACGTATTCTTGACATCCTCTCTACTTTCTATAAACGCGAGATGAGGTCGCGATTTTTCAAAGGAATGCATTTTCAAAAGAATCTGATGATAAATAAATAAATAAATTTCTATTTCCCTTTACGATTGCTTAAGAAATATACATAGAGTTTCGTCTAATAATTATCACCTTTGAAACAAAAAATATTTTCATAGCAATCACGAAACGGTCTATTAACTTCAAAAGAATCAAGAATGAGTACAAGAGATAGAATCCTTAGCAAAAATATCTAGAATCCGCTGATGCTTATTTTTATTAAATAAATTACTATCCCCCGCTCGAGATATGGCGGTCTAATGATTACGTTACAAGTCCCAACATGCACTTTAAAATTGCATCGAACGTGAAACACGCGGGTTCAGAACCGCAAGACCTCCTCAATCGCTCGAATCAATTTCCGATCAGTGTTGATGCCGCGCCGAGTAGGCCAAGTTGTGCGCGTAATCCCGGCTCGCCTGTGTCGTTGTAGAAACAGGAAGAATCTTCAGACTCCTGTCCCATCCACCGCCTCCTTGCTGCCAGCCGCCATGATCGTGTCCCTGCTTCTGACTCAGAAGCTTCTTCAGTCCAATGATCAGAGAAAGAACTAGAGCGATCTTGCTGACGATCAGCGCCTTTCCAGCCAGCAAGAAGAGTACACCAAGTGCCAACGGGATCATCATCATCTTCATAGCGAATCCCATCATCATCATGCCCATCATTTTCTTCATCTTGCCTCGGCCCTCTTCCATCCCTCTCTTCAGTTCCCCAGGTGTGGTCTTTGGTAAACGAATCTGAATATTGAAGCTGTTCAACAGCGAGGCCACTCTATCCAACAGAATTTCGTTCAGTATTTCATCCTTGCCAGTAACCGTCCTACCTAAACTGGCCTCCAGCTCGTTCACCGAACTCTTCGTAGTTACTTCCGCGGTTCTGATCAGTTCAAAGTTCTCCGACAACGGCAGAATGTGCATTCTACCCAGTCTTTCAAAGAACGCTATCGCCTTCTTCTTCAGACACGGCGATATAGCTATGTTGCGAGTCTGACAGTCCTCGTAGACCCTGTACATCGCTCTGACACCCTTGTCCACGAAGCTGTCCTCGTCCTTCGTCGCCGAGGACGCGCAGCAGACCGCACTGCACGCTAACAAGACGATCACACACTTGGACAGATCCATCGTCTTCCTTGGCACGTTAATCCTTAACGAAACTAGAGGACCTCACCGGATATAAGTACGCACTGAAACTCCCGCGGTCTTCAGGATCCTCGACTAGTGAGAACTGGCGACAGGACCAGGTGTACGGACCGATATATACCATCGAGTCATCCTCCATCCTTCGCAAACCAGGGTGAACCGTCTCCCACGTAAAGAACCCATACGGATTGTAATACTCGCAACAACTTTAACGCTCTAAACAAGTTCGTTCGGTCTTTCTCTGTTCGTTCAACGGGTACCCCCTTAGCTCGATCCTTTCTCTACGATGCTCTCGCAGAGCGAGCATGCGACCCATCTTGACACACAGACCCACTCAAGCATCGAGATCGAGCTAGAAGGTTGGCCGTGTGCAATTCGCTCGTTAAGTTTCGCTGATGTTTAGCTGGGATTCGCTCGAGCATCGAGGAGAAGGGGGATGATGCACAAAGGAAGTATCCTATTGGAGTAGCTGACACGGTAACCCTGACGACCTTTTCGATTATACTCGTGACGGTTGGAAGTAGTTTTAGGTCGCGGACGGATCGCGGCCTTACTCTCGCGTCTTCCTTTCATGATACTTTGATCCTCCTCCGTTTTCTTCTTCCTTTCGACAGCTAGCTTCTAAACGAAAATCGATTCGATTCCTTTTTTATTTTTCCCTTTCTGCTTATCTTATTTCATCTTCGTCCCTTTCTCTTTCGATGCACTGTTAAGAGCGAATCGCTTCGGTTGCACCTTTTTCGCCCATTGCACTGGATTGCAACGTTCACCTTCACTCGTGGTCTTCTTCCTTTTTTCGAAGTTACCCGGCCGTGTGCGCGTCGAGGAAAACAAGTATCCTGGCAACATGATACGCTGTAATAATCCTGTTTCTCGTTAATTCCTTTAATTATCTTTTTTCGTCTTTAGTTCTGCTACCTGAACATTGTTGCAAGGCTATGTTATTAACCGCCCGAGAAATTTATTCTCCCTGCCCTGTTATTTATAAATTTACCACTTTTTAACATTTCACGTTTGGTTTGAGCTGATTTCAATTGCTTTCTTTGCTCGTTCGTTCGAGTCCGTTGTTTAATTTTCATGCGGTTCAAATTACCGATATAGGAATAATTTGAATTTAATTTCGTTATTTATTCGTTGTGTAACGAAATTAAATCTCACCAGGTTGGGGGCAGGATGAAGCAGGTGGGAAATATGAATTTTTTGGAGCGTTAATAATCAAAGGGTCAGCTGATGATTATGGAATCGAACATAACAGAATATGTCACTATGCCGATATTTCACAGCGACTCTGGCAGCCGTTCGATCGAGGTTAAACGCATCTCTAATGCGACTACGACGCATCCTCGATGATGGTTTACCTACTTATCGCGATTATCCCATAGCGAGGGCCTCGTGGTTGTACAACGTTAACGCGCGTGCCACATTCGCGGCACGCAGCGGAATTCACACAGGCGCCGCGAGAAACAGATTCCACGATGAACAATAATGACTTGCGTTCGCGGTTCGCGACAGAAATTGAATAGTCGGAGACGTAGACGAACGAGCGCGAAGGGACATTTCTCGATGGTTTTGTAGGTTGAATTTAACCGAGTCTAATAACCATTACAATGGTCCAGATGGTAAAATGATCAGGAAATTTTCACATGTATTGTATTATAATCCTACACCATGGTGGTGTATATATTTGCGATTCAAAAGTACACGTCATCTTATTAAAATTAGGTAGCAGCATTCGAGAACGCGGCACGTTCGCCATTGTTATAAAAGAAAGTTCTTCATTTGTTCGGGAACGAGGCCAACAGGGTTTAATCGACGAATACATATTGTTGATGGGACATTAGCCTTCGCGATTCTTTTCAAACCCTTCCATGTTCCTCGTATTTCGTTTCCATTCTTTGAGAGCAAAGTGACTTTCAAAAAATTCGAGAAACACCCCATAGTTTTTTTTTTAAATTGAAGAATCTTTCGAACTATTATTTCGTTTTTCAACAAGCGTTGAGGGAAAAGTGTTACCCTTGCATAATTAGCGGAAGTACGATTTTCCAGGTTAATAGGAGCAAGGAAAGCGTGGTAATGGTCGAATAAAAAAAAATGAAAGGGATGTTTGGTAAGAGGTCGTCTCTGTGTCTTAATAGATTCGGGTCAACGATTCGCAACAGGTTGTTCTGACCTGGCTCATTAGCGCCGCACGAAAGCCACGAACATCTGAGCATCGTTTCTGGCTTTAACTACTATTCGGTTTCGCTGCCGGCTAATTCTCACCAAGATTTCAGATTATCCGCTCGAAATTGCTCCGACAATCACTTCGGTAAAATATTCTGTCGAAAGGTATCTTAATTAGCAGCTCGTAAACGAGACGATGTACAACAAGAAAGTTTATAGATCTATAAAATTGAAAGAGATTTCGATGTCCTTTACAACGAAATGGATGAAAAATTAGAAAACGATGCACGATTGAGATAGTAAAGTACCATAAAGGAAGTCGAAGATGTTGATGAACCATATAGAGAAGCTACCGTATCTCGTTTTCACGATTTCAAATCGCGTGCAACCCGTGACCTTCGGCAAATATATAGTGGAAGAAACGAATCGAGGATGCTCGATCGGCCCAGTGGCATACAAAGCTGTTGCGAGGAAAAAGGCTCAGCCTTTTAGGCCTTATTTTCTACTTCTCAGCGTACGAGGAGGAAGCGGAACTAGCGAAGCATCTTCGATTCGGTGACAGTGTTTCATTGAATTCTTGACGAACCTTGACTTTCCAACGGTTAATCAATTAGAATAAATTACGTTAATCAATTAAGTGTTACAAGTTTTTGATGTTACTATTCGAGTAACCGTGGGAATTTTAAAAAGGTAAATTCAATTAAGTCAAATATTCTGAAGAATAATCTTCTTCATTCATGCATAATTATAAGTTCTTAGCCTCGTAGGTTTCAGCCCTTGCAATTAGCCCAATTCCTTTTAGTTTCGATGCAACAGGATATCGTGCGTATAATATCGCTTCACAGTAGACGAACACGCTGCAATTAGCGGGGATGCAGCTAACCGTGATGCAGCTCGCGGACCAAGCGTTTCGCAGCTGCATTTCCGAAGCTGATCCACTGAATCGAGCAAAACATAGCAGCTGCGAGAAGGATCCGTAGCTGCATTCACGCTCTGTATGTCGTAACCGTTAATTACAATTGCCTTTATAAAAATGAACACCACTTTGGTCGGCCAGTTTCGCTCGAACATGCATCGACGTACGTTCGTCGTGCTGCAGTTGTGCAGCCTCCTAGCTGCCTGCAGTTGCATCGTTGCTCATCAGAGAGATTACGATAGTGTATCGATATCAACGGATTGCGATCAGCGACAGAATTCCACTGGATGCGCAAAAGAGACGCGAGAGATTGGAATTAAGAATAGTCAGACAAAGGAGAGGGTGACCAGGGAAATTGATGAAAAGACTTTTGAGGGTGAAAATGATGGAACTGAAGAAGGTACGTTCTAAGATTCTAAGTTGTAATTTAATTAATTAAATTTCAAAGTGAAATTAAATAAAAATCTGATCCTTAATGAGCTAAGGTGGTTCAGTTCTAATTAGAAAATTTTCACTGTGACACTTAACATATTAGAATCATCGATGAATTCTTGAGAAAATACACTTTTTCTCAGGAATATACGTTTCCTGAAAATCTAGAGTACCGTTTCCTGGGATCGATTTCCCATTGTTACTCACACTGCTGGCTAATTATCCGGTTACTCATCAAATTAACGCAACAATGTGTGTTTCCTTTCAACGTAATCTCTACGGACGATCTTAGACGTCGCGTGACAAAGCATACTTTTCGTAATTTAACGTTCGTTCCTTGCGGTAAACGGGCGCTCAAGTAAATTAAACGTTACTGTAATTTTGTTAGAACAAACGGTGGACATTACCTTCCCCTTTTCCAGTCACATCTCGCAAAAAGAAAGACAAAGGGTACGGACAGATGTTGTTGTACTTCCTGGGAGCATCGAAGCTGACTATACTATATGTGTTGATTAACGTTGTTTCTGCGATTGCTGCGAAAGCCCTGGTCGTTGGAAAAGCTGCTCTGGCTATTGCTACTGCTATTGCCTTGAAAAAAGCCTTCGGTAAATGAATAATTTTGAAAAATTCGTCGATGATGTGTCTGAGAAATTATACGTATGATACTTGGTTGATTTTCTTCTTCTTTTTGCAGAGCACAAGGAAAAGGTGACGTACCAGATAATCAAACACCCTTATCATACTTTCGAAAATACCCATAGTTCAAGCATCGATTATGACCATCATGGTGGCTACGAAGAAAATGAGCTTGGTTATCGAAAACGACGAAGAATTTATTAAAAGAAGAATTAATGATTAAGATTTTGTATTAAATAAAGAGAACTTGCGGTATAAATATAAAACATAACCACCTTTGATTAATTTCAGTATTAAAAATCTTATTTAAAACAAAAGGAGAAAAATGAGTTCTTCTGATAACCTTTATTACTGTCCATTTTTACAACAATATACAATTCACTATGCAAACTTCTCACGCTGTTAAGTAGAAAATAAATAACATTAATTTTTGGTACAATTGTCTCTGCTAGCAGCTCTAAATAAATAACTAATCGATCAAAAGCATTAGAACTTTCAATAGATAATTTTCTAAATCACATTTTACTCGTCTATCATAAAGTTTTATTGAAAAGTTCCTCTCCTCGCTCGTAGTAAGAAATAATATATAATGTACATCTATATTAATTATCCCGTGATTAGTTTCATTCAAGTGGGAGGAACACCATCGATGGTTCTCTGCCAGCCGCCGCCACCACCATAGCCACCGCCACTGCTGTAGCTTCCATGGTGGTCGCCTCCGGTAGCATAGATCACTTCATGGCCACCACCACCTTGATGCGACACTAATTTCTTCAATCCTATGATCGCGCTTAATACTAACGCTATTTTTGCTGTCAGCAGGGCTGTTCCAGCTATGAAGGCGATTTTTCCATAAGCCAGTTGTGCCATCATTGCTAAAAAAGGAAAAATGGTAAATAAATCATTTTTACAAATTTTACATCCACTAGGTTCCTAAATATTTCATAAATTTGTTGTTGAAGAAGACCTACCTCCTACTGCCAGAGCACCCATCATGACTGCCCCGTATCCTTTGTCCTTCTTCTTTCTACCTGGAAATATAAAAGAAGAAATGTCACCAAATGAATGAACGTTTAAATAAAGAAGCTTTGCCAAAATTCCTCTACCTTGGAAAACATCGCCAGGAATGGTTAACTTGACACTTCTGGAAGATAAGTATTCATGAAACTTGTTATCCAACTTCTGATCCAAGCTTAATTCCGTTCCATTCTCATCTTTGAAGGATCGATCTGTACTTCTCGTCACCACAGCAGGGTCTTTCTCGAGCGACACGTAATCGTTCAGCACGTACACCGAATCGTCCCTGATCGCCGAGTCCAGGATATCAAGTGCTCTCTTCTTCAAGCAGTCGAAAGCGTTCTTCTCGCTGGCGCATTTGTCAAACAGCTTGGTGTACTCGTTTTTACTGAACGCCAGATCGAAAAACAACATCAGATGAAGAATCGCAAGAACGCTGATGATTCCGGTCCTTTTCATCCTGAACCTGCGAGATTCTGTTACTATGAACTGGCACAGCTGTCTAACGGCGCGGCGATCTAATCTATTTTACAACGAACGATCCGCTCGAAAAATGCCACAGACTAATAAGAATCGTTCGGCCGCGGCTCTTTTATAAGAGTATTTCGCGTTCTCCTACCATTCGGTCAGTTCGTCCTTATAACAGGTCGGCTAACACCTGATCCACGCGCTGTTTAACGCCTCCTCCACTGGAAGGAGGGACTCCGGAACCAAAACAATGTCGTACAGCCCCGTAAGTAAGTATCCCTCTGACCTGGTTGCCAAGCGAAGCCGAAACCCTCGCGGAACAACCCAGGAATAGGAATTAAAAGGCTGACTTTAAGCGACAATCGCAGGAAGATCTCTATTGTTTCACTTCTGCTGTTCGAATCGCTTGTTCATCTTAAAAATGAAGGATTCAGATGATCTTGAAGACGATAGGAACCAATGCTAAAACTAAATGTTCTATTAATTTAATTTTATTGCTAATATCAAGTTTCTGATAGAGATTATTTGAATACCTGCACCGCGAACCCTCGAATGAACAGTGAAAGTTCATTCGCATCGGCAAAGATCGATCTTCACGCGTGAACCCAAAATCACGCACGGTAATGGCGGAAAATCGTCGTCGTTAGTAACGTCGTGAGGATACTGTTAATCCGACACAGATTACGAACCGTGACGGGCCACATCCGACAAATGACTGGAGCAATTACTGCTCACACGAATTTGATTAAAAACGTCCAACGTTTTAAGGAGATTCGAGGGCCGGCTGAAAATCCAGGACACTCTTCTCCGCGTTTATCGTTTCCCCTCAGCTTCATCGGCGCTCTGACCGGCCGGCGATCGCAATTACCCTACTTCCGACAAAGGGGAAGAAGAAACTCAAGCGACACTGAAAAACAACATTCCAGCCTTTCGTTGTGTCCAGTTTTGTGGCGATTTTCGGCTATTACCTTGCGGGAGGATGATTATAAAAAGAGGAGATCAATCTTTGTCGCGCCGAAGATAAACGCTCGGGTAAATTAAAAAGAAAATGGAAACGCTACCAAAAAGCAAGCAGAAAAATTGATCTCCGTTGCATCGAGATTCGTTCGATAGCTGAATTTCTGAAACTCAGTTAATTTTAAAAGAAAACCGAACCGTTACGAAGCAGACGGTCTATCGTCACGCATGTTCGACGAAGCCAGCCGAGTGTTGACGACTCGAATCGATACACGAACTGGATCGTCTCTATGGGAATCCTCAGCCCGTGAAACAGCGAACTTTTACGGTCGACTGTCCTCTCGCTGGTAATATATGCTCACCTTGCTCGTTACACTTGACATAAACAGTTGCGAGCACGTGGACGCACGATCAGGGGACCATGAACGCTATTACCTTTACGAGCAAACGCATTTCCTGGACGCGTTACCATCGTTCCTCCTTCCTCCAAGGAAGCCGCTTATACAGTTAGACGACCGAAAGAAAGGACGACACGATAATGAACCGAGATTAATTCGTTTGCACAGTGAAAACGATTCGGATCTTTTTACAACAAGATATTCAACGCGGTTGTTTAAAACGATTCGCACAATGGAAAATGGAAAATCTCGGTTCCGTTACGACTGTCTGAGAATAGAATTCCTAAATCACAGAATTCGCAAGAATAATTCTTATTTCTGACCCGTGATTTCTAGAACAGCTCGCTTTCTTGCGATCGAGGCTACTGGTTTACACCTCATTCACTTTTGTCCATCTTTCATCCACGAATTTCTCTAATATTCCTAAATATGGATATCATAGTTCATTGACTCAGCCTCGAGCATCTTCTCGAGCTTCACAGGAAGTAGTGTTATTGAGAATTAAATTCACGATGAATAATATCCTGGTCGCATTTACGGAGGAAAGAAGAAATTAAGGAAAGAGGGAAGGAAAATTCTGCGTAATGGGAATGGAACGTGTGATGAGGTACAAGGGAAGGAAAAAATGGTTGTGCACTGAATAATTCTTCTAATTTTATTCAAAAGCATAAAGCATGTCGTTAAAAGTACATTAGCGAATGTAAAATAATACTGCATGAATCATTTTTGGACATTTTATCATTTATGAAATATACAAAATTTTTGTGTCCACTGCGTCAGTCTCAAAGCATCCATTTTGAAAGAGTTAACTACACTCTTGGTTCAACTATTTTTCATCCAAACGAAATTCTTTCCACTTCGTTTGTTCTTTCCCACCTCTTCCCTATTATCATAAACGTCGACGACCTCTCTGATCACGTGCTGTGTATACGGTTCAAAATCACTGCCGTAGAAACCTTTGTAGGGTCTATGATGAAAATGCTGCTGTTCGTAATGAGGGAATCCTCCAGCTGGTTGCTCCTGCCCATACGTATAAAATCCTGTTCCTGGATAGGGTGCAGAGGCGGTGGAGAACAATGAGTTCCAACCAAGAAGACCACTAATGAACAATGCTATCTTGGTCAGCAACAGCGCCTTCTTTGTGAATAACAATAAAAGACCGAACAGCAGTGGAATCAGCGAAACCAGATTGAATTTGAATCCTAAGAGAAAGGGTATCAACAAATGTCTCAGCATTTGTCTTCCTGGAACCAAAAAATTCACGTACAATTTGTATTTATCGCAATATTTACGCAAAGTTACATCACGTATATGATTCGATAGTATAAGGTAAAAGATCTAGAGTGATCCAGAATCTTAGAGAACGCCTCGATTCTTCAGCATGAATGGCCTTGGCCGTGCTGCCTACTGGAGGTAGTTGCTGAAAGCAGGTGGCGAACGCCGCGTCAGCAAGGATCCGAACCTTGGAGAACGACGGGTTCGTTTCCAAGCTGACATGATAAATGGTAACATCATGGAGGATGCCATGACTCCTCGATTCGAATCACTTACGCTTATCAAGGTTAAAATACCCTTAAACCCACCTGGACCAGCATGTCTGTCACTAAAGGTTGCTGCCCTTTCATCGATCACAAACTCTAATAACCCGTTTCCATTTAACATCGGCCCAGCGCGTAACTGTAGTCCAGGGTACAGGTTATCCAGGTTCCATTTCAAACTCCTACGTTCCATTAACCTAGTAGCAGCTTTCACGATGTTCCCAAAATCCTTCGGATCATAATCCCAGTCTAGAAGCTCTCTGCCATAACCATCGGCTCTCTCCAAATGAACCTCGCCGAAATCAAGATCGTCCTTCTGATTGAGCAACTGAAGGGCGCTCAAAGTGCCTCGATTTACGCACTCGAAGGTACCGAATTCTTTTCTCGCCATACACGAACCAAATGCTTCGTCGAACGTCGCCGGATCGTCGTTGTTCAGAATGGGCACCTCCGTCGGCTCCATGATCACCGTGATCCCCGTGGACACGAAGACCAACAGGCAAAGGCTACGCAACTCACGTTTCATGCCGATGACGCAGCAGCCTCGGGCGTTTCAAAGCGGATGAAAATAAACTCGGGGAGGATGGCCGGTGAAAGTTGATAAGCTTTTCGTGTGAACCGTCGATGAAAGTTCCACTGCGTATGGGAAAGAGGAATCAATTAAATCCATTGCTTCGTTCTGGGGGAAAAAGAATCCGCGTGGCAACGGACTCGTCCAGCAAGAAATACTTTGATCGTCGATCATTTGAAATGGAGTCGAGAAAATTAAAAAAAAAGAATGGGAAAATTAAACTAAAAAAATTTAGAATTTCTCTTAAACTTGCAGCATTTCCCATTTCATTTCACCGATTTTCTGTCGATTCTCACCTAACGAAAACGCTCTTCATCCCCCTCATTCCACACAACAAATTGCCACATTATTGACGCCGAAATTACGCGACAGAGGAAACCCATAAAACGAAGCAGAAGAAATGCAACCGAGTTCCGAAACAATACTGTTGATCCAGCAACCACGATCACCGGGCTATATAGGCGTCAAGGGGGCGTTCACACGCGACGAAACAATAGGTTTCACTCGGTAGATCTCTGCGAGCAGCGAAAGTACCTACACTTCCTTCGTCGTATTTCGTATACACGCTCGATACACCGGATGCACCCAGCCAGACCAATTTCCATTGGATCCTCCGGTGAATCTTATTAACCCGTCAAAACGTCGAGAAGCAAGAAAGAGAAACTCAGATAAACGACATTTGTAGCCAGGAAAGACCTCCATGGAGGATCAATTCGCACGAAGAAAGTACAAACTAGATAGACAAACACCGATAGTGTTAATACAATTTCGACTAATTAGCATATTTTAGTGATGTCCTCGAGAGACATCAACGCATGGACAGCAGAGGAAGAAGCATTTCGGGTATGGTTTTCGTATAAAATTAAGATTTATTTATAAATAATTTGATAAGTTACATGGCAACCCCTTTGGGGCGGTGTATAAATAATCATTGGATGAAATCTGGTGGCCCTGTGCAGGTACTGACTACGAGTCCGGCCGCGTTGGACCCGGGATCTCCGATCGAGATCGTTCCGAAGCATCGACCTCTGAACGATTACCGCACCGGTTGCTCGAGACTGCGCGACTACCACCATTCACTGTCCTTACAGTCCATTCTGTATTCTGTTTCTGTCCTAACGTCACCGTATTAAGATCCATTCATACTCAACCGTACCATCATCCCAGTTACCGTTCTCTTCGTGTCCATTCGAAGGATGCGTGTTCACTTTCCTTTAAGGAAAATGAGACATTTAATTGACGATACAATTGAATATAAACGGAGCCCAATGCAAATTATTCGAACGACACCGAGAGTGTCTGATTCGAACAGCCTCTCTCACTGGTGAACAGAGTCTATCGTCACGGTTCGTCACGTTTTGTCACTAGTCACGTAGAGTTCGCGTGTTTCCACGAAACGATTGCCGATCGTACGGTCGTTCCTGGGTCGTTTCCGTACGAATGTCGAGGGACTTAGTCGCGCAGCCGTCGGGTGATCGCCACCGGCTGAACGATCACTTTGGCGAACGAAGGTAGAGAGTTGATGAAACGAAGTGGTGTCACTGCTGAGAGCTACTCGGCTGGTTTGTACGCGTTGTACGCCAGCTCGGATCCAGCCGATCTCGCCCAGCCGTGATGATCGTGGTGCTCTTCGTGGCCGTAGGAGTGGACAGGGTGAGCGACGACCTCGTAACTCTGCTGCTTGTTGCCAAGAAGCTTCTGCAGACCGATGATCGCACTGATGATCAAAGCGATCTTGCCGATCACGAGGGCTTTCAGGGCTAGGAGAGCCAGACCACCCAGGGCGATGGGGATCAGAGCTGCAGCCTTCAGTTTCAAGAGAAGCAGGATCGGCAGAAGGGATTTCACGATCTTCTTCTTCTTTCCACGTGCTGTAACAGGATCGTAAGGTAATTAGATAAAATGATTTGGATAGATGATTATTTTTGGATTAAGGATAATAAATACCTTCATCGAACGAGCGGGAGACTTCTTCGGGAAGACTCAGTTCCACGGTGTGGGTGGAGAGGAACTTGCCAGCTCTGTCCAAGATAGCTTCATCGATCGCAGCTTCCTTAGCCACGACTTCAGTGGGCAGGGTGCTTTCGATGTCGTTCAAGGACCTCGCGTTGTCTGCCCGACTGGAAGGTAAAATCCTCGATTGAATTGCGAGCGGATCGATTCCGTGAATCTCACTCTCCCGCGACCACCGCGATTCCCGAAGTCGATCACTTTCACCCGCTCGATTCTTACCTGTTCTTAGCCTCGTCGGTCTGCACGATCTTGAATCCGTCGACGACTTCGATGTCGGCCGATCGGGCTGCTCTGTCGACGAAACGCAGCGCCTTCAGCTTCAGGCACACCGAGACATCCTCTTCCCCGGAACAGGAGGAGTAAACGTCCAGAGCTTCCTCGAGGATCGACGGCTGATGGACGGCGTCCTGTGCGGCTGGTGCAGCCGTGACCGAAGCGGCGATCACCGCGGCGATTATCGCGTACTTGAACATTTTAATCACCCGAATGGAGATGAATCGAGGGGAGCAAAACGTAACCGGAACTTCTCGTTATCGATCCTCCCTTCGCGTGCTGACTGCAACAACAACTCTGCGACGATCGTATCGACACTGACCGAAAGAATCACGATTGCTGCCTTTTATCCTCGTCGCGAAAGGGGCTCGCGTACGTTTTTGAAATTTTGATGGCCCCCACCGGTTGGCCACCGCCTGACGCTGGGTTACAACCCATACGAGCTATTGGTTCTCCTCCAGGCGGTTCGTCCCGTGTTTCTCTGTCGTGCGCGTCTCCCGTTGACGCTCCTCCACACGCTCAGGCGAGCGCGAGCGTTCGCGGTCCTTCTCGCTTCTTTCCTCTCCGAGGAGAGGAGAGGTAAAACGAACCGACTTACTGACCATCGGTGTATTCGAACCAGCCCTGAGTGTGCACGCGCGCACCACGGACCACCGATGGGTCCGATGAGAATGGGAGAGGAAAACGCTCGGAAGATGCTTGCCCACTCGTCTCGGCCCTTTTCCAACCGCGGAGATTCGACCACCTTCGAAGTTGGAAGGTCTAGCGCGGGGCCAAAGGTGGGTTTCATTTTAAGGGGACATCGATGGAACGCGGATTCCAGCTTTAGGCGTTTCCGGTAAGAGCGGATTCATTATTCAATCACGGTCTGTAGGCAGGGGATCCTGATTAGATTCCTGTTTCAAAGGAATAATCTTTTTAGAGAAATTCTTTTCTAAGCGATTGGTATTGATAACTTTCTTCAAATTCACATTGTCCGCGGACAGCAAAGAGAAATAAATTTCCATAGAGTTCGGTTACTTTCTCGTTCCGGGGTACCATATTTGTTCTCAAAGAGAGACTTGGGACGCAAGGTGTATTTAGAAATCGAATATTCAGGGTCAATGATATTCACGGTGCTGGGAACTCGATCGTAATGGATTCTCGCTGCGTTGTCGCAAAATCGTTCTATAAATATCCCGTGGGCTCGAGTTGCTCTCTCATCACTCTAGAGAGAAGACATTAACGCAAAAGTTGTGCGTTTACAGTCCTTTCTCTCGAATCGATTAACACTGGAACTGGAAACTCAAAAGTAAACGTGTCATGAAGATCGCTGAAACGGATGTACGATCGGCTACGAGCACACAGTGTCCCTTTTCGAAAGGTAAGGTGTTAATTACATTCACAGAGAGAAGTCTATTAATTTTGTCGGTCAGTAGCACTCTATGGATCGTTCTACGAACGAGTCGCTGATTCAAGTAACAAGAAAATCGCGTTGGCACATTGAATCGATCCGTTTCTTGCTTGAAAATCGAAACGAAAACGTGCTAGGACCAAGGACGATAACCGTGTCGCGATTTCCCTTTCAACAGGCCAGCAGAATAAGGCCTCGCGTTGTGTAGAGAAGATGTTTCGATCTCACGCCTCCGCAACTTTCTTCGTCGCGGCGGATCGCGACCTCCTATCGAGCAGATTGCACGCTTTCCGCCCGCGTAGCTTCGAAATTCCTATGGCTCATTTGAATTTCATTCGGGACACGTCATATACTGGATTCGTAATCTGAATCTCGATATCCTGGAATTTCTTAACTGTAATTTCACGATTAGATGGACATTTCCATTTGGAAAGGTTCGAAATTACATTACCGATGAAATGGCAAAATTATGATTTTAAAGAAATCATGCACCGCTAGGAATGTTTAATCATCAGACACGATCACCTTCCTCAGTATTCCAATTGTGTTCTAAAAAAGATTTTGGAAATTATTTGATCGATATATCTGGTGTAGTAATTTGTAATTTTTAAAATTGCCTAAAAATGGCCCCTCCACATAAAAATATCCCCTCGAACGACGCATTCCCATGTTTCTCTCTCTCTCTCCCCGTCCTCAGCCTCCCATTCATCAGTATCGGGGCGTAGTCGAACACTAAAACCGTCGCTTCTTCTCTTTCTTTGAAATCAATGTATTTGTGCGACACTCGCGAGGAACGTTTAACGGTTTTTCATGGAATGTCCGTGGTGCTTGGTGGACGAGTTGGGTTCGCGCCAGACCTCCTCAAGGGGAACAAACGGCCGCGCCTCGATGTGACCCCGAAGACGTCTCGCCTAGAAAAATGTATATGAAGAAAGAAAAAGATGAGAGGTACGGTGTTTTCCCATAAACGGTAGGTACGATTACGAGCGACTTTCTCCCTGTTTAAAGACGTTTAAATTCCTTTGAATTCACATTAACTTGGTGATCTATGTTTTAATTAGATTGGACCTTCGTTAAAATCTTACAAGGCATTCGAATAGTATTATTTATACGAGGTGGTAAATGGAAAGCTTAATTTATGAAATGAAACGACTGCAAAATGTCCATTTCCTTTATGGCAATCGTGTGTTAAATCGAAAAATGAAATAACATATTCCGAATAATTGGCGAGCAGAAATTTCCATTAGGACAGTCAACGCGTTAATAATTCTCCTTAAAGTATGCCGGATTATATACGTGTCTTTTCTACTGCAACATCGAACGTCTGAAGAATCGATTGAAATTCTAATACCGCAACTGACCGAAGGAAATCGCTGTCACGAGTGACAGGTACAACTGTCTGCTGTGTAAATCGAAAGTGTCTACGACAGTGTCGGGGTATCAATGAAAAAGAGGATGAAATAAAAGAAGGAGAAAAGGAACACAGAATCACCGACGTTACAGAAGACTTTCACTTTATCTCGATCGCTAACGAACGACGATTTCGATTCTTCTTTTTGACGAGACCGGTGATCGAGAGGATCGAGACAATCGACCGAGTGATCGACGAACCGTGTCACGAACGAGCGTGCGACACGTGACAACACCTAGATGGGATTAGGAACGGCTAGGATTGTTTTTAATTAGACGATTTTCGTGGACCGATACGATAATCCCGATGGTATAACGAGGCGTGTACGAGCTTGTACGCGGCTGGTAATGGAACACTTTCCTCTCGACGACGCCGGCGGGAGTGATCTCAGCCGAGGATCGAGGTCAGGTCAAGGCCCCCATGGAGCAAAGCCTGCAGCTTCTCGGTCTTTTCTTTATTTCTTCCTCCCCTTCTGTACGGGCGCAAGGCGCCTGGTGGGTGTAGTCGTCAACCCACTCAGGTTAGCTTTTTCGACCCAATATCAACATTCCTTACGCCGACAAAGAGGCAAGTGTTAGGCCTTCCTGGATCCGAACACAATGATTGGCAACCCCCTTGGTTTATCCATACCCGGCGCCACTTGAAGGGTGGTGGCTGCTGGGAAGTGGATATTTTATACCTTTACTATTTTAACCCTTTACCACCACCGGTATAAGCTAAAGCTTCGGAACGGCAGAGGGTGTTATTAACCCCTCAAGGCTCACTTTCGATAATAACCTCCCCTTCTGTAAACCCTCCTTGTATCAGGTATATGCAAAAATAATGGCAATTTTCTTATTACAAGTTGGTACTGATTTGAGAGAATTGAAATTTGATTGAAATAATGGTAATGATAATACTTGTATTAAAATATCTCTGCTAATAGATATGTCCATTTCTAGGGTGGTGATCAACGCGTTAATGACTATGAATGAACTTTCTAAGAGAATGCACAATGAATGAACGTGATTGGAACTTTTTAATTCCCCTATAAAGAACAAAACGAAGACAGCCGACTGGCAGAAGAAGGAGGAAAATAGAAGTAAAACTTTCCATTACTCGAATGAACGGATTTCAATCCTTTTTATCGTCCTCTTATCTTCCAACTTTTCCTTGGTTTCAGCTCAGATGAAAAACGGGAGAGAAGAATGTCAGGGAAAACTCGAACGAAATCTAACGCATTCCACGTGTCAGAAATGATTGACAGGAGCTGGAGGAAATCGGGAACACCCGCTGAAAAGCCGTAGTTCCATCGGAACGATTACCATTAATTACCACCGAGTCCCGATTCCGACGTTCCACTTGAAAACACTTTGACCCACTTCCAGATCGATCCGAATCGAACCAAACGTTAGCCTATAAGAAATCAAACGATACGTTTCCTAGCTTCGAGTCCTTTGTTACGTCGGCCCACGTGTTGACGGTTCGCAGCGGAAAGAAGATAGAGAAAAGGAGGTGAAGGATTCCAGGTGACTTTCGGAAGTCTCTAGAAGGGCGGAGAATCGTTCGGAACGGGACCACCTGACCCAAGATCTTCTCCAGGATCGATGAACCTGCTCGAGGCGAAGGTAGAAGGGAGATCGATCGACGAAGAAGAGGGGAGTTGAAGACGAAGAAAGAGACACAGCTTTTTCTCCGGAATGGTAGAGAGTGTTAGGCGCAGCTTGAAAAGGCTCAGCGCGGATGCTGACTGGCCTGGTCGGCCTGCTCGGCCTGGTTTACTTCCACCTGTGTCTGATCCGCACGTGTGCTCGTGTATGTAACCCACACATACGCAATTAAGCTTCCAGGTCCCGAGCAAGTGCGTAAGGTGTTCGTGCGTTTCCAGTATGTAGGTAACGAGAGACTCTACTCTCCGCGCAGGAGGAAGAAGGCGGAAGCGCGGCTGGTCTCCTGGCCTGCATCGAACGATTAACAGGGATAATCATTATGAACGTTGCAATTGAAATTTCCTAATTTCTCTCATTTCCGCGATTACTTTCGATGAATCTTGAAATTATCATAATTGATTCATCGCTAGCGTGCGTTTGATGGAGGAAGGGTGTAAAGAGTCGCTGACACAAACGTGTTAATCTTAATATATTTTCATATCTATAAATATACATAGCCATCTCGTGGCTGCACGCTGAATAATAAATACTGAGGATGATACGATCGAGCGATTGTCGCTCGCGAGAGAGGAAGTCGGGCGTCGTGGAGAGGAACGAGAGGAAAAAGAAGTGAAGATGAAGAAGAAGGTGAAGAAGGCGAACGATCGAGGAGGAAAGCGACGCCCGACGAGGATCACGCGGGTGCTTCGTGAAAGCGAAGTCTAATGAGATTACGACGGGTCGCTGCTTCCGTGCCTTTGTTTTCCTAGGTAGACGCCGGCTTGTAAGCGGAATAAGCGAGATCGTGACTCGATCTCGCCCATCCGCTCGATCCGTGCCCTCCGGCCACTTGAACGACCTCGTGCCCCCCGTGATCCCCGCCACCGGACACTAGCTTCTTCAAGCCGATGATGGAAGCCAAGACCAGCGCCAATTTGCTGACGATCAACGCTTTGCCGGCTAGAAGGGCGAGCGCGCCCAACGCCAAGGGCACCAGGGTGCCGCCGATCAGCAGGGGGATGGCCAACAGACCGCTCATGTTCTTCTTCTTCTTACGACCTAGAAGAAACGTACGTATTAAATAATAGGATATGTTTCTCATGAACAGTTCCATTCGAAGAGTGGGCCACACGGTCTACTGGACTGGGAAAACGGAACCGGAATCATTATTTCGGATGACTGCGTTAACGAATCGACTCGACCGAGTCTGCGAACTCATTGCTCGAACGTCGACACGGATTACGGATAATTAATCTCGCGATCTCACCTTCTTCCACGAGGCTACGTTGAAGTTCCTCGACGTTCGGTAACTTCAGCTTCAGCGTGTAACTCTGAAAGAATTTCACGACCTTGTCGTAGATCATGGCGTTCAACGCTTCCTCCTTGTCGTCCAACGCCCTTGGAAGGTTGGCTTCGATCTCTTGGAAGGATTTTGGCGCTTCCTCCTCGCCAGAGGTAGGATCCTCTTGAACGAACGTCACCCCGTCCGCGACGTTCAACTGGGAGCTCCTGGACACCCTGTCCATCGCCGACAACAGTCTCACTTTCAGGCAGGGACTGAGCTCCTCGTCTGCGCACTCCTTGTAAATCTGGTACATCTGTCGCAGATCTCCGAACACGTTACTGTTGCCGGTTGACCTGGCGGTTTCCTCGTTAATGGAGTTGCTGGTCGGGTTGGTATCGGCTGACCTTGCCGAGGCCATCGCCACTAGCAGAGCCAGGTACACGGAACAGCAAGCGATCAGTCTCATCTTTCTTGCGCAAGAGAACCTAGAATCGTTCGAATCTGTTATATAAGAATCGTCCACCGAAGCTGTGTTCCTCGTAGGTTCATCAAATTATCCCATCGTAGGCTTGAAACTTTACTGAAGTCACTTTGTTCGTCACAGTACCTACCAAGAGAGGAATACGATCGCGCGATTCGATGCGAATCAGAGGAGGGTAAAATTCGTCTTCTTCTACTCCTTCACGGACGATAAACGTCGAGGATTTCTCAATGGATTAATAGCGTTAACCACCACAACTTTGGTAGCTCGACGCCGCGAGATGCGTGCGTACTGGAGAGCACTGAAACTGGACTGTCCGTAACGGAAGCCCTGCCCTAGCTCTATATATCTGGTCAGGTGTGCGTGGCTGGCGATATTCTCCCCACCGTGGCCACCGGTACGAACACCACCATTGTGGGAGCATTTTCATTGCCAAGGATCACTTTAGAGAGGATCGAGTCTGGTTAACCACCTGGGGACGGAAGAGTAGAGAGCAGAATTCTTACCGATCAGGCCCTGGAATTCGTTCCCTCCTTTTGCTAGCAGCACCCCACCAGTCCTGAACGATAAAACCGACGCGACGATTCCGGCGAATCGTTTCGCTGCTCTCGAGAGGAACGACGCTGTACTCGCCCTTGTCGTACGACTCGTTAGATCCGACCGGTCTAACCACATCGCGAGCACACCGCTTCGGACTGTCTCTCGCTCCGAAGCTGGTACTCGCTCGTTCTCGCCCACGTGGACGAGCAACGAGTCCTTTTGTTTGCGATTTTATCCATGGAATCTCGATAAGTATGAAATCGAAAGCATGCTCGGTTAGATTCTCAAGTGGAAGATCGTAGGATTTCGAAGTGGACTATTAACGGTAAGGTCGTTAAAACCGTGTTGATCAGATATTCAAGAGTCTACCCACGGTCAGAAATAGAAACCTCGTTGTCTAATCGAATGCTGTACCGTTAAACCAATCAAACGATCTGATCGAAGCTTTTCCCTCTTATCCTTCGGCGCCTCCGCATCCTTACCATTTTCGTCCTGTCCGACAGCGGCGTGCCAGCCTCTAGGTAACTGGGTCACACCAAGTGAAAACACGTTACACGTAGATACGCGTAGGCCTGGCTTCTGCGTAGAGGTATGGGGGTCAGGGGAGATACGGTTCTCTTAATGTCCAGGTTCATGAGCGCAGTGAAGCATCGGAAGGCACCGAGGCAAGACTGAAATTTTCGGTGGGGAACTGGCCCTGTTCCGATTTCTTTTCTTTTCTTTCTTAACAGCCATCATTGCTTCTCTTTTTTCCTATTTCTTCTCTCTGTCCCACGCTGGTCGACTCATTGAATCGACCAATGATTCGGCAAATTCATGATGCGCCGACAGGATCGAACGAGGACACTCGAGGACGATAAACAAACGTTCGACGAAAAGTACGCGTTTTACCGATTTCTCGGTCACGTACGTGCCATGGAAATCATCCTGTCGGCGAAAGCGAGATATCGAACACCCTCAAACGTCTGACCATTTCCGGTTCAACGATCCGCGATCTTGAATACTATCGGACGGTGATTTTCTGCATCGCGATTCCGCTTGATGAGCCTCGTCACGAGTCACTTGTTCCCCAATGAAAACCGTCGTTATTGTGTTCGTTGGCCGCGCGCGGGTAACATTATTATTCCCGGTATGCAGGTTACCGGTTTGAAGTTCACGGCATCGAGCATCCGGTTTCGCCGTCCGGTAATCTATGCGACGGTAATGAAGGCGGTTTGCGGAAAAAAACGGCAGCTTTTACGAGCCATTAAGTGACCGATCAACGTAGCTAGGTCAGTAGTGGCAATCTCAAACACAGCGGAACGGTCATCAATTTCGCCGGGCATTAACCATCGAGGAGCTTCGTAATCGAAATTACGATTTTCTTATGGGATAATCGAGAAGTTTCACGACTTCTTTCTCATAAACGTACACTATAATTAGCCTGGGCTATTATCGACGTATACTTTCTACTCGTACCAAGCGAAATGCCCTCGCTTCGCGGTTGTTTTCCCCCCCGTTGCTTGTTAGATCTTATCTGGTTCAGGTATCGAACGATGCACCGATGCGTACCTATACTACTTTCACTCGTTTTCATAGGTATCGATGAAAAGAAAGTACGTTTCATCGGTGCAAGCGTTTGGTAAATGGATGACACGTGATTGGAAACGTTCTCCAATAGATTATACGTTCCTGTGTCCTATAGGGACGTTGTTTCTCTTATGCATTTGAGTCATATGTTGTTTTTCTTTGGGACAAGACGCAACGCGCCGTTCGTCATCTCTTTATTACAAAGAACAATGTGAGGCAATAACAATAGCACACGATCGAATGGATAAAATTAAATAAATACTAGAACAGGCGTTAGGCGCAATGAATAAATAACAATTTACGCTATACATGGGGAACGAGTATCTCGCGGAGGTACTGGTTCGTTGTTGATCAAGAAGAGAGCGACAGAGTTATTAGATCGAGAGGATTCGAGTTATCGAGGAGGATAAGAAGAATAAATATGTATAAAATAGAGAGGAAAACGGGTAAAGGGGAAATCGAGGAAACGAGGAAAGAGGAAAGTGGTTAGGAAAAGAAAGAAGAGAGGAAAGTGATAGACGCCGAAGGACATCGGAACTCTCTACGAAATTCTTCATGCTTGTGGTTGTGGTTGATGAGCGCGGTAGGCCATTTCGTGGGCATCCTGAGGTAAACTCCTTGCCCAGCCGTGGCCACTGCTGCCAGAATAGCCGCCACCATAGTCGGCGCCACCGCCACCGCCACCGTAACCACCGTGGCCTTCGTCGTGGCTGACGACGTGGCTGCTGCTATGATGAGGATGCGACACCACCTCGTACGTCACGTGCTTTCCGCTCGAGCTGAGGAGCTTCTTCAGTCCGATGATGGCTGATATCACCAGGGCTATTTTACCGACGAGCAGAGCCTTACCAGCGATCGCCGCGATCGCACCCAAGGCTAGTGGCAACAGGGCTGCGGCCTTCAGGGCGAGGGCCATCATCAACGGGCCGAGAATTTTCTGGGCCTTCTCTGTAATCGAGTAATGGTAATTAAATACCCACGTCGCGCGTTAACCGTCGAATAAAATTTTGGAACGAGCGTAGATAAGAGCGTTGGGGATAACCTGGCTGAAATTTCTCAGCGAGTACAATCGTACGATTAAACAACGTTCCCACGAGAAGAGCGGGAAGTAACGCGACCCGACCTTTCTCAGGATGACTCCGGGGAATCTTGAAGTGGAATAGGCGAAGGTCAAGGCGAAGTACCCCGTTGCAGGATGGAAAGTATGTCAAAAATCTCACGCGGCGAGAGATCTCCCGCAGAGGTCCGTCTCTCTTTCGCCTCGCGTGTAACCCTCTCCTCGTTCTACGCTCGAGGAGTTTCAAGGGGAAGCGGAACCAGTTCCTCAGTGGGTCAACGTCTCGCGGCCAGCTTCCCCAGCGTATCGTCATCGTTGTCTTCTCGAATAGAGCGACCACGATAGCCGAGGAACTCGGCACGATGCAATTGTTACCGACAAAGCGAATCCCGGTTAACCCGTTCCTCGCGTTAATTACCGCCACCGAGCGTGTAATTGGTCGGTCACGTGACCCCGGATCGAACTGCTCAATGGCACCTTGTTTCTGGTAATTAACGATACTATACGAGAGGAAACAATGAATGGGTAATTAAGCACACTAGTAAGATGGTAATTTGAAGAAGTTGAAATTACGATGCTCGAAAGATGAAAGATAACCAAGTGTCCTATTGTCTGACGCTTTTACGCGTTGATGACGATGGGGGTCAACCGTACTAGGCATGCATATTATTAAACCGAACTAACCTTAATCTTGTACTAATGAAATCAATGATTCGTAACTTGTTCATTACCACCGCGATCCGTGTCTATATATCTTTGAAGGTTTCGTTTAAAAATTGCAAAGAAATGTTTCTTTGAGTTTATACTCACTTTTCTTGCCACGACTTTCGACAGCATTGTCAGTGAAGTCTTCGAAGCTTCGACCAGCTGATTCAATGGCGCCAAGGATGTCGGTACCCTTGAGGTCAACCTTGACCGTGTGGGTCCTGAGGAACCTTCCTAGACGATCGAACAACAGCGTATCCAAGTCGCTGGACTCGATGGATCTGTAAAATCCCGTTAAAAATTAATTACAAAAAAGAATACACGGATACAAGATCGAACACAAGATCAACGAAATTCAATTTAATTCCTCAAGAGACATTTCCCTTGTCTCAGGAAAAATAAAACCAACCTAGGTGCGCCTTCTTCGGTGTTCGAAGTCTTGACCACGGTGATGCCGTCCGTGAGCGTGATATCCTCTTTGTCCGCGAGCATTTTGTCCACGTATGAGAATACTTTGTACTTGATACAGTTGATCGATTCCTTCTTCAGGCAATCGGTGTAGATCGTCGCCATCAGGTCATTCTCGTTTCCAGGCTTGTCGTTGGCCGGCAACGCGACAGCCAGCACCGGAAGTAGCCACAGAACGTTCACAAAGTACTTGCTCATTGTTCCGATCGAATCACCGATTCGTATGCCGAACGGAAACCGACGTTTGTTGACAGTTTCGTACCGAGGAGGCTGTATATCCTGTGCGCGAGTAGTATCGCACCGGTTGTTGTCAGACGGTGAACGTGGACGCCAGGATGAGCGTCGATCGAGGCCTCGTGTGTTACATCCAAAAGAGGTTGCTTTGCTTTTATACCGAAGTATCGCACGAGGGGAGACCTCGTGGGCACGGGCCACCAAGAGTTCGCTCGAGCTCGCTCGTCGTGCCATCCCCTCTATCTCTTCTCTCGCTCCTCTCTCCTACCCCTCTCTTCGATCGAATCCTCCGGGGCCTCTCTACGACCACATAAGCCTTCCTCCTTCGTTCGTTCGTCATCCCTCTCCTTTCTCGAATCTCCTTATTTTAGCAGGACAAAAAAAAAAGATGCCCGTCTTTCCGAGGGAAAAGAATAAGAGCAGAGGGAGGGAGATATCAATTTCTTTTTTAAATGTGTGCCTTCGTAAGGTATTCTCTAACCCTTTCGATATGCCCCTTATAAAGGTTTCTCACCCTTTGCTATTAGACGCCTTTTGAAATTAATGTATGTCATCGTGAATTTCTTAATTTTAAGTGAAATCGTATTTTTACTTTGAGACCTCCAATAGTGGACGATGGTTCGTAAATGAAAAAATTTCTGCAATAGCGTCTTTTCCATGGGCATATATCGAGCAACCTAATAGAAGATGGACGCACTTGCATTTTCTTTCTGGTACCCATCGCGTTCCCCTGATTGAATCCTCGTTTCCTTCGTCTGTGGAAGACCTACTTCGCTCTCCGTTAAGGTCCAATGGCAGAGGTATACCTCTCTTCCGTCCCCATCGAATCGCTCATTGAACGAGGGAAATCTACTCGGCGGAGGTCGCGGGGAATGGTACAGCAAACGAGCTCCCTTGTGATTTCTCGCACGACTTCACGTGTCTCTTCCCCGTTCCTCCTTTTTGATCTATCATTACCATGAGAGTGATTCAAGTGCATGGTGTATCCCTGTCGCGATTCCGACAGGTCTTCTTCAACGGAAATTCGCGGTTGACAACGTTACCATGTCAGCTAAGGAGAGACTGGTGCAAAACGAAACCTAGACCTAATTTTCAACGGCTAACGTAGCCGAATGGTGTCTGATATTAAAATTTTCGAATTCGTATTCTTAGAAGGTGTCAGAAAGTCGTCTGACACTATTTCTGATTCGTCTGAAGCCACCTAGACCGGTCCGAGGCTGCTTACAGTTATACGGCATTTAATGTCGTTAAATTCTTTACGCGAAAGACGCTTAGAACCGTTCCGAGTTCTTTATTTGCTACCTGCTGTTTGTTTATAGATCCTTAGGTGTCGTTTACGTCATTTTGCTCGGAACGTTTCAATATCCTCTATCGCTGTTCGTTAGAATCGTGTTGCAGCGACTAGAATCGTATCTAACGATATCCAAAGTCGCGCACAACTGTTCGTACCTACCCATCTTCGTCCGCTGCTTACAGTTATACGACTTTAATGCCTTGGAATTCCTGCTGTGGGACACACTTCGAACTCCACTAGGCGATTTATTTACGATTTCAAGTAACTGTGTAGGATATTTGAAGCCACACAAATCTCAATCGAATTGATTGCTTCAGATTATTATCGAAGACCATCGGGCTAATTAGAAACCTATGACGAACATCTGCAGTTTACTAATCCTCGAAATTATGTTCAACGAATCGAACGATTTATTAGAACGCTCTAACTCGTTTTTTTTCGGAGGATTCGCGGTTCGATCGTAGACGATGGTCAATCGTTTTAGTCAGCATCGAAAACCTTCATCGGCAGATGATGGACGCGAGATATTATCAGGGGAACGGGGTCGCTCACCCATTTACAACTGGGTCGAGTGCCGGGCGATCATTTCGGCTGTTTCGTCTCTCTTCCTCGCGCCTCGTCCACCTGTCTCGATCCGTTCCCTTCCGTCGGCGTCCGATCGTCTCTGTTGCACCTCGAGGAGCGTCCAAAAGGACGTTCTCCGTTCAGCCGGTTTCGGGGATCAAGATCGGGCCCGGTCCTCGAGAGCGAACGTCGCCCCGGGCGAAATCATCCACCTGACGCGCGGCTCGAAGCTTCGTCGAGCGTTTACGTGCCGATACACGCGTGCACGTGAAGAAAAGCGAACGTATCCCAGGCGACCGGTATCCTGAATGAAATCCTGCTTCGACCATTGTGCTTTCTTTCAAATTATTCTTATCCCAAATGGCAACGTTTGTTTTCGCGAGGATTTAACCAGAATTTTCTTGGAGTATAGAATTTTATAACTATCTATCCGAACGGAATGAAAAGTTACGAAGCTGATGCGAGGGGAACCGAGGTAGCAGCACACTTTCGGGTCGATCAAGAAAGTCGCTGAAAGTCGAGATCCACGGTCATCGAAAGTACACGTGCACGAAGATGAGAGATGAAAGAGGAGGTTCACGAATCGTGGGTCAGATCGTATAGATTTCTGGGTGGATAGAAACGAAGGAACCGTCCGAGAGTCTAGCTCGACGCGAACGAAACCGCGGGAAAGAGTAACGGTGGACGATTGTTTCGAAATCCTGGTGGCAATGTTGAACGCATCGCGTGTCACCGAATTAAGACACGCGATCGTACCAGTTCTTCCTCGAGGACCTCCTTTCTTCTCTAATATATCGATTTTGATTTACGAAACGCGGAATGCGATAGATCGAAACACGCGTCCAACGCGGTTAACCCCGTTTCGTGGACGCACAGAAAATCGAGCGTCGTTTCGCAAAACTTTCCAATTTCCAGACTCGTTCGGGAACAGAATGTTCCACGAAAGAATCCGTGTCGCGCTTTTACCAGATTTTTACAGGTTCACGTGATTCGAATCACGCGATCGTCGTACGAGCAAGTTCCGAAGGGCCCCGTTCACGTATCGATTGAACATCGATTTATCGTCTCCGTTGCAGCTGGTATGCGGCTAATAAGGCACTAGGAAATCCAACAGCGAGCAGGGAATCTAGTAACCCAGTGACGCATGAGAAACTGCCGTCTACTAATCGTGACGTGAGAACCGTACCGAGATTCAGATACGAGCGAAACAGCTCGTTCGGTTGTGGCGCTTTTACGACTCTCTAATAATGAGATAGAAGGACTCGAAGCTAGGTGAAATTCCGCTTTTGTGAATACCAAAAGAAAGTCTCTATTCATCAGCATCGCGAGCCGAGGCTCAGCGCCAATTTTCATGACATTTTCTTTCTCTGTTATTCTTTTCCTTGACGTTTGCCTTGCTTTTACATCGGACGAACGTTTAACGGGGCGAACGCGACGCGTTCTGATTTTTCTGTCCGCGTTCCCGTCGACGTTCCACGGGATCGGAAGATTTACGAGGTCGACGGCCCGTGTAAACGTCAACCGGACGAAAAATTACGTTTCGAACGGGTTTCCCTTCACGTTTCTTCCCTTTATCACGATTAAAACGACTACCGCCATGAAAGTCCGTCGAACAAAAGGATTAGGTCTCATACTTTCTCTCGTACAGCTCTTCTTTAATTATGAATCGGAACATTTCGACTCGTTAAATACCGCGCGTCTCTTTGTGTATTCCTTCGTATTGATTCCTGTTAAAAAGGGATGGCGTAAACCGAGAGAGCGGAGGGGACGAGTTACCTGAATACCGAGTCACGATTAATGTACCTCTTCTCTCCCCGCGTCACTTCACCACTAACGAAAGTCTCCTCTTCCTTTCAAAATAATACCGCATCTTTTTTTTCCTCCGGATCCCTCACGATCCTGTCGCGATACAGGCGAACGTAACGAGCCGTGACACGAACGTTCTTGCTCTCTCGATTCGTTTCACCTTCGTTCTATCGAATAACATAATACTCGGAACATTGGACCTAATTGGTACCTATCAGTGGTCCACTTATTTTTGTCGCCGATCGAAGCCATCGTCAACTGTCGTCAGGTGTCACGGATCGCCTCGAGGCAGCAAGAAACGATGGAGAAAAGATTTCCTTTCCGTTTTACGTCCGCACCTTCCTCGACCGCTAATCAGCGGCTGTGCAAATACAGAGTTGTTCAGGCAAAAAGGATTTTTACTATCGGCCCCGAAGCAAGTTACTCGCAATCGCGACGGAAGAAACGACAATTTTGCGTCAACCTCCTTTCCAGTCGCTCATTTTCCTCCTATCTGGGACTTAAGGACATCGTTCGCGAAAGATTTACTAGAATGTCCGTCCTCTCGACCCGATTCGGAACGACGAACGCTAGCCACGATCTGTCGACCCGCGCGAGTCCCGAGGAAAACCGCGTCGCACGACCGGATGTGCACCTTGCCGGTGCACTTTCCCCTCGAGGCGCGCAGCCATCTGGCATTTCCATCTCGTCGTCCACCTCGGCCGGCTCGATTTCGCCCGCGAGATCGCGCCGCGACGAGAGAGCCAGGCCGGTTTCGAGGCCGTTGAAATTTCGCCGGTGAAACAGGAACAGAGACGGGGAGGGACGAAGTAAAAAAAAAAAAAAGAGCGACCGTTTCGGAGGTTCTCGGAAGGTTGGAAAGTCGGCGATGATCGTGATTTCTCTTTTCGCCGTGGATCCGGGATGATTTCGTACGGAAGGAACTCGATTTCGACCGGAATCGATTGAGAACGAGACAAACTCTTTGTTACTTTTCTTTTCTTTTTCTATAAATTGTATTTGACGGTTCGTTGTCAACATGCGTTACAAATTAATAAAAAAAAAAAGACAATGATGATGAGAGCACTTCATGTCATTCAGGTAAGAGCACTTGAGAACAGAGTTCATCTAAATCGTACTGGACTAGATGGTGTTCAGCTTCGTGGTATTCGTTAAGAGATTAAACTGTGGTCGTGTGATTGCGCTTCGCAGCCGCGCTTACAAAATTCGTTAAGCTCGGATTCATCGAGCTAAAGCGCCGCGACTAGCCTCTATTCGTTTTCATTCTACACGCATAACGAATAATTATGATACGTATTATTTACACGGGACCGGATGGTCCCTGGTCCGCTTATTATTAAACAGAGGATAAATAAACAATAAATACAGTCGAAGGAATCGTCCCGATTCTATCGTGTCCTCGTGGATCGATGAGAAACGAAGAGGAAGAAGTGAGAAGGATAGGAAAGGAGGTAAGGAGAGTATGAAGAGAGAAGAGGAAGATGGTTGAGATACTAAGAAAAACGTTAATGATGGTAGCCGGAGTACGCTTGATTCTGCGCGTAACCATGCCCATCGTCCCACGAGGCGCCGGACGACCATCCTCCGCTCGCAACTGGAGCGGACCAACCCCCGCTAGCTCCGGCTCCGTTCCATCCGTTGTAAGGAGTCATTTCGTGGTAAGAGTTCTTCGACCACAGAGACTTCAGCCCGATGAAAGCGGAAATGGCGAGGGATATAAGGGATGCGAAGATCGCTTTCTTCGCTATAAGAGCGATCGCGAAGTACGCGAGGGTGGCCAACGCTCCGATCTTCACTTTCGCGGCGATCAGAAGAGGCAGGATCGATTTCAGGATCTTCTTCTTACCTCGACCTATAGCGAAGAAGAAAAGAACGTTACGCTTGGACGATTTTGAGGATTCAAAGAATTTCGATACGATTAAATCGAGAAATAGATTTCTTTAAGTTTACCTTCGACGATTTCGTTGACCGCTTGACGCACCTCTTCGGGTGCCGAGTCGCTGAAGGCGCGAGCCGATTGCCCGATCTTCTCGAAAGTAGGCGCGAGATTGATCTATAGACACAGAAATATATATTACATCAGACAATTAGGATCGATTACATCAACTCAACGAAATGCTTCAATTACCCTGAGACTACGTCCACTTAAGAATTCACCGGCTTCCTCAGTCACGAAATTCTCAAGAGCGCTCTGTCTGTCGGCCACGTTATTAGCAGCGTCGATCTCCTGATCGTGAACCAATTCCTTGCCAGTTCTGGAGCTTCTCGCTTGTTCGTCTCCGTTCTTCACCAGACTAACACCACTGAACAGTTCCAAGTTGTCCTTGTCGAAGAACTCCTTCGCTTTTCTGTAGAGGCTCTTCTGCACGCAGGATATGCTGTCGCTCTTCAGGCAATCCTCGATGCTCTGCCCTGTCGTTAGGACGACGGCTGCCGTTAGAAACACGATCGCGAATAACTTCATGGTGGAATGAAGCAACTAAAGACGAATATCTCCGAACGGTGATACAGATACGAGTGGATGACCGACGTTTTCCGAAACCAGTCCCGTCGGTAGTGAAATTTCGTGTGGTCCATCGTACGATCTCTTAAGCTTATATTTGGCGGGCCCCTCCTCGACCCACGGTCCGCGTCGCCGCCCCACCTCTTGCCGCCTTTTGGTATTTTTTTTTTTCTCTCTATTTGCCGTGCACGAGCGTGTGCGTCGTCACAAATGCTCGTGCACGTCGTCGGTGTCGTCGTTGACGAAAGTGCTTGTTCGAGCGACGGAAGCGGATAGGTGTTTCTCTCGGCCCAGGTGTTCCTCTGCGACGCCCATCGAGCCCCGCGACCTGCGACCTGCCCACACCAGACACGAATACGGTACCAAGGTGGGCTGGCCGACATATCTTCTCTTCCCTTTTATCTTTCGTCTAGGAATATTCCTACGGCTTTCTTCGCTCTACCTTCCCACCGCTCGTTGAACCGAGACAAACGAACATCGTGGACGTGGATCTGGAAGGAGGAGGTCCTAAAGGTGATTCAAAGGGCGATTTAGGGTCAATCTAAGTTGGAGATTAGACAGGGGAGAGTTAGAGGTGACCTAGATTAGAGAGCCAACCGAAAGTGACTAAATGGTGCTATTGAGATTTCATAAATATAAAAGTTTTCTTTATAAACATTTATATATGTATACGCGCGGAGTAGCCATCAACGCCTGTTTTCTCCGCGTCAAAAGAGAGTTTATGAAGGCAGGTAATTAACGAAGATTCTCCAATTAACAATAGCTCGTAGAGCGGTAAAACGTGTACCAGCTAACAGCACTAAACGCTGGCAGATAAAAGGTTAACAGAAAAGTAGGGAACAACGGTAGAAGAAGCTAGACATGCAAATTCGAAACGGTCTTCGATCATCGGAAGAATCGCGGTGAACGGTTTACGAGTCTCATCAGGTTGGTTATTTTTCCAAGGAAGTGTCAGAAATCGGAGAAGCTCGTACTCTCTCCCACGAACGACGAAATGGCGATCGGCATGAATGAAAGAAAACTGGTATAGATCAGGTTCAAACATCCCGGATCCGACCTTCATCGAGGCGAACACGCGGACACCACTTTCTACTTTGACCCCTCGCGACTCTCACGGCCAGCCGATAACGCGTACGGCGCTTGTCGTTTTCGTTTCGTTCCTTCCGACCTGAAGCGATTACAAAGCGGCCGTGGAATTTCGGGTTGCGAAATCCTGACCGTTGTTGGTGGATGGAATTTCGTTACTCCGAGCTTGCCCATCGAAATTCCGGCTTCGTTCGTCCACATCGTGACTCTCTTCTACGGATCTAGGAAATCGAACGATTTCGTGTCGCTTCTTCACCTTTGGACTTTCTTGGTTTCTTCAAACTAGATCAATCACCTCGGTCGGAAATTTTTTACCCCACGAGTTTCTAATTCGAAAATTTCCATTTCGTATTTCCTATTTTTAAATTTGAAGTATGGAAATGGAAGGGTTAAAAAAAGGCCTCTATATGGTAATTAAAATAATGAGAAAAGAAATGGAGGAAATAAAACATCATCGACTGGGATGAGAGTCAAGAGTGGTCGCGTAACTCGGTTAACCGAGTTGACATAATCGTCTGGTCGGGGAAAAGTTCGTGAGAAGAACCGCTGGCAATCGTGCTAATCAAGCTTTCGCCGCGCTTGAAGGGACCGGATGAAAAGGAAATTCGCGCGATCTTACGTCACTGTTCATTCATCCTTTCTCGGTCATCTACCGACCGCCGTCTCCGGGATCCTTTCCAGCCGATCCTTCGTTCTCGTGGCAGAGGAGAGCCGTTAAAAAGTAAAACCACGGTTTCTCCTTCGCCGCGTGCAGCAGAAAGGAACGGCCGAAGCCACCGACACGCCCCGACACGGTAAAATCAGCGATGCTTAGAAACGATCATCGAAACCGGGATGAAAGGAGGCTGCTGCCATTGCAGGATCGCGAAAATAACCATCAATGATATCGTTCGTTAAACGTATTATGTAAACTTTCACCGTGAGATGACTTATATACGCTCTGTACAGTTCTTTTATTTCCTTCCTTTACCGGATGTCGATCGTTTCTATCTCGTTGCTTTTTACAGCATTCATTCGTGTTCTTTTCTCTAAGAATTTCTACATCATTCAAAGAATTTGTGGACTAGATATATCGAGTATCAGGATGCACTTTCAATTGTAATAATTCACAATTTTCATAGAATGCATTCATGACTCACTAATTTTTGTTCTGTCATTAATTAATCAAGAAGAAAAATATTCTTCTTGAAGAAGTCCAATATTCGGTAACTGCGTATCAAATGGCCGATTTTGAAGCATAGAAAGTCTGAATTTTTTCAATTCCTTTCACGAATTCCACGACGTTTCGCGAAACGAAATCCCGAAAAACGAGGCCCAGGTGTCGGTGAATAAACTACGCTACATGGGACATTAACATTTTTCTTTTTCTCTTTGCGCGAGCTCGCTTAGCATACGACCGGTTGAGTTTCACTCAGGACTCGCGGAGAAACGTCCGATGACAGTGGTCTGCTAATAGCGGACTATCTTAACCCAGAATGAGATGACACGGGTATTATAAGCAAGATTTCTTGCGAATTCCCTGTCATTTACTCGCGGTTCTAACGATCGTTCACCGGCGAATGACGAACTTGGACGCGAAAGTATAACTCGTCTCGTAAGTCGGTCAATGATTCCTCTCCGCAATTCAATATTTTCTATCATAATTCCTGAATATTACGGAAGTATTTCCATTCACAGTTGAATACTGGACGGAGAGGTCAAGGTTACAAATTTTGCAAACTCGTTGACGATTCTGTACGTGCTGTCGACACGAATTTTATCGATTATCCGCTCGTTCGAGGTGCTGTTCTCGTCGCCGAATGGGCCATTGTGCAGTTGTAACATGGTGTTTCAATTGCGCGAAGAAATTTCGTACGAAGGTGTGCTACTTTCGAGGTGACTCTTCTTCGGATCTTCATTCGTTCTCGTTGAAAAGCGGATTAGTTTTCTAAACGATTTTATTTTTAATCGAAACTGGGTCACATCGAGCGAATAAACCTCTGCATTGCATCAGAAACTCGTCCCCTCATCTGCAATTTCAAAAATCTTCAATTTGTCTAAGGAATTCGAAACATTTCCATTTTGCTTGTAAATCATTGCTCAATTCGAGTCACGAATTCCAATATCGCTGGGTCTTCAGCTTAGAAAGCTTTCGGTTCAACGTTTCGATCATCTAACCTCAGTCAGCGACCCGCTGCGCGAGGAATTTCTCAGAGAAAAGAAGCGGCTTCCGCTTGACACGCGCCCGATCCGAAAAATCGGTCGTCGACGGATTTGAATTTTAAATTTCCATCGGTAATGAGCGTGGAATGTAACGGACCCCTCTCCCGATCGTTACCGTGCCAAATAGTAGATATTAATGGGCGATCGGGTCAAATGTGACCGTCAAATCCTTCGGAACGTTGCAATGATCAGTAGGCACCTTCGTCTTTGGTGAAATCTTTCATAGTAGAAATTTGCAAAAATTGAAATCGACTAACGCGTACCGATTTCATTCACGAAAACGTTCTAACTTTCGTTTTTCCTTAGCAATGACGTCAGTCGTGTCGCGCCCGAATTTACGGCGCTATAAAACTTTTAATCTTTCTGGTTGCCAGTTGTCTCTGAAACGGCAGAAAACGAAAGCAGAGTAGCAATCGGGCATTGATAAAGCCTGGTAATCGAACAGAGGGATGGGTGTTAAGAGAAGAAAACGAAAGCTGAACAACGTGTAGACGCGAACGGTTTTGCTTTTGAGTTACTTTCTTTTAAGTAGGTCGAGCATTTTGACTGGACCGAGTGAATTTCGCGCTAATGATCTTGTCGGATTGCTTTCTTGTACGTGATTCATCAACAACGATGATTTGATAGAATTTCATTTGTTAACAGGACACGACGAGTTGACATTAATTTTCTTTGGATAATTAGTGTATTTGTTAATAGATGATTTTCTATTAAGAAGAGAAGCTTGTGTCTGCTTTTTTACACGTAGGGAAGAGAAATGACTTTCTCTCGATCGAAGAATCATGCGGTTGACGCGTTAAAGAAGAGTGTAAGCTGGAAATTGGGTCAAAGAACTCTAATTTAATGGAATCTGTAACGAGCAAACAGAGAAGGAAAGAAAAAATTCAAAGTTCGTGAATTTAATTATCCTCTATTTGTTAGTGAAAGAAAGAAAGTGAAAGTGTAACTCCTGAGCAAAGATGAAAGTTTCCATTTTTGGAAAATTAAAATTCTAAAAAAAGTTATATTATTACCATTTTAATTCATAAGGGTAAAATATCCCCGTTACAAGTTGTATTTAACGATTGACACCTTAATAAAAAAAATAAGAAAAAATCTGCAAAGAAACATGCTTGCAGTTGCTTGATTGCACTTGCTCGAGCTGTCGGAAGTTCATCGTTCGCCAGATGCGCCTGCGCAGAAGTCGCGACGCGATCTGAGCCGATTTCAAGCTGGCTCTCCCCGTTTTATGATATTTCAAAGGCAAAAAAGGAAGCGTCCGGAATGTGTGCCAGTGGGTCTCGGCCCCCGTCGACGATTTTCCTCCCTCCAGATCGATGCTAACGAGAAGAACCGTGGAGAACGGGCCTAGTTCGAAGGAAATGGTAACAGGTGGGAGAAAAGATCCGTAAGTGGGGAGGAAAAGGTGCATAGAAAGAGGTACCCTTCTCGAACTCCGTCGACTCTCTCGATCGAACGCTCCAACGACTTCCATCAACGCCTTCCCATCATTTTCCATCGGAAAAATAAACGAAAATTGAAAAGAAGAATCACGAGATACGAATTGTTAATTCAATCAGCGTCGAATGAAAAATTTTCCAAGAAATTAATTTTCCACCGAGATTAAGAGAATGATAAAGAACCTGTTAATTGGACTTAATGGTTAAATTGTACGAGAGCGTAGAGCAATTAATATCACTCTTTAGACACTGTTCCTGGGTACATGGTTCCCTGAACAACGTTTCACTTAGCACGATTTGTTACACAATCCGTGGCATCGTGCTACTTGCGAGACACGCTTACCCACAACCGTCCCACCATCGCCGACATCCGGATCATCGAGGCAAGAAAGAGCTGCAGTTTCATGTCGCTTTATGCTTGTTAATCCGTTCGATTAGGAAATATACGGGGAGAGTTTGAAATCGCGAACACCTAAGAAATATGCAACGCACGCTGACTGGTTGGCACACTTTTCCTCCTTCGATCCTCTCTCGTTTCGGTTTTCCTAAACATCCGGATCCGTTCGGGTCCATCGTTCTCGATAACAACCGATATTCCCCCTCTGGTGGCAATAAATTCAACGCTTCGAGATATTTTCTGATCGTTGATTATTCGTATAATTTTATTCGATTGCGCAAATAAATAAATGGTACAAAAGAGAGGGTAAGATGAGTATGGTAGAGGATGGTGTAATAAATAACATGGTTGTACGTGTACTTTGGTTTCCTCAGCGTCCGTCTCGTCCACCGTTCGTCCCGTCATCAAACGCGTGTCACGCGCGGCAAGAAATTTTCAAATCGTCACTTTCGTTCGTCAGTCCCGGTCACTAAGTCTCAACTAATGTCATCGTCACTGTCGTTCGAACGGCGTCAGTCCATCGTCCGAGGATCATCGAATTTTCTTCGAGATGATCCGCGCGTCGATCGCATCAGAGCACTCGTGAATCGGCGAACAGGTGAGCGTATCCTCTGTACGGTAGATCGTGGTCCTCCTCCCCGAGAGATCTCTTCTTGCGGTAGTGGTGATGACCCACGTCCTGCGCGTACACCACGTGGTGGCCACCGCCGCTGTCATGGCCGCTGGCCAACTTCTTCACGGCGACTATCAACGACAGCATCAACGCCAGCGCGGAAACCATTAACGCTTTCATGGCTAGCAGACCGAGAGCACCGAATCCCAGAGCCGCCATCATTTTTCCTGGGAACAGAAGAGGAAACATTAGTCTCTTCAGTGTCAGATGAAGGCAACATTCTTCATGGCAATATGGTATATGAATTTACAGCTTAACATTTTTATTAATTAATATTAATATTAATGAAATCTTTACGTAGGTATTTTCGTTAAAAGTATTTCAAAAGAATAGTAAAGTTGAAATTAAGCTGAATTCAAGATTAATACATGAGTATCTTACCCATCATCAGCGCCAAGATCATGTAACCACCTCCGCCGCCCTTCTTTCCGCCGCCACCGCCCCCGAATCCGCCGCCACCGCCGCCTCCTCCTCTTCCTGAAAACAAAATAAACTTCCTCAGTTCGATGTACTCCTGGACACCCACAGATACTCGTCTGCGAGGATGTTCAAGCAACCTTGATCGACCGGCAGGCTCTCTTGAAGAGCGCTCTCGATGTTCTGCGGCAAGATGCTGGGCAGCTTTATTCTCAGCTCCCTTCCCTCCAGGAACTGTACCAACGTGCCCATGTTACCGAATCCCTTCATCAGCCTTCCCTTTCTGGCCGGTCCGGAACCAGGTACCTCGACCAGGCTGACACCGTCGAATATCTCGATGTTCGGCTCCTTGCTGGATTTCTCCAACAGCTGTTGGACGATCTTCCTGACGATCCTGACACCGTAACAGGACACGGACAGATTCTTGGCATCCGTGCTCGAACATCCCGTTGAGAATCCGCTCCAAACATCCTTGGTGTCGTTCGTGTCCGCGGACGTCGCGGTGGAAAGCACGCAGACGATCAATAGACACAGGGCCAAACGACGGCGTACCCCGTGCCCTGTGCCGTTCTCGAACCAATCCATGGTTTTCGTTGTCGAGTTATCCTCCTCGAATTTCAAGCCGACAACAAGCCTCGCACCGAATTCCCGTCAAGTATTACGATCACGCGACGCGACACGATAAACGTAAACGAAGCCAAAGATGCGGTAGATCCTGCGGAACCTACGGTGGAGGTCCGAGTGGTGCATCTAAGCGGGCTTCAAATCACGTTTATATAGTTGCACGAGCTGGTCGGCGATTGTACTACGAAAAAAGCAACGAGAGCATCGACGTCAGACCGGGCAGACCGTTCTCTGTTCGAAGCGTGTGCATTAGCCGGCAATTTTTCGTTCGGTCCGACGATCCTCTCGTGGATTCTTTTTAATTCTTATTTCCGAGACGTTTTAGAGCGTTACGCCGCGGTTGGCTGCGAGGTCGAAGCGAGCGGGTGCGAGCCGAGTAGGCTCGCTACCGAGCAACCAACGCCTCCGCCTGCCTGTCTTCCTTCAACTCGTGCCGATTTTCTCCACCGCGCGTATTCCCGTAGTCTCTTTGTTCTAGATCAGTGGATATCAGTGCACGCGAGTCTCTTGATACCATTCAATCCGTACCGTCTCTTCCTTTCTCTCTTTCCGTCACTTTTAGTGGAGCAGAAGAGAAGGTGACCGATTTCGAATCCACCGATACGCCGAGCTGGCTGGGCTGGCTGGTCGGCTCAGCCGGTTGCCTGCTTTCCTCTGCTCATCTTTCAATATCGCAATTAACGGATTCCACGAGAGTCGAGGAGCGACGCGAGACCGACATGTCCGCGCCAGATATTAGCTACCATGAAGTCTCTTTTCCATCGCATCCTAGACGGTATCTATTACTTAGGCGGAAAGGTAATCGATGTGGAACCCTTTCAGTCGGTTCCTGTTCCTTCCCGATGGAAAACGCAGAACAGTGGGAGGAAGGTTGATCGGTCTGGCCCGATCGACATCAGGCCAAGATCGCTTACCGAAACTAGTTCATCTCGCCGCATACCTTTCTCTTCTGTTCCACTTCCCCTCGTGTACTCGCCGATACACCGGTATATACGTAACATTGGCTGGTAGGTATAACTAGGCCCGGTTCGAAACCGTTCGCTCGTTCCTCGCGACGACACCACGCCACACGGACGATCGTGTATCCCTGAAGCACGGATCGACCCTCGTCCACACCCTTCTGTTCGAATCTTCACGAAAATTCCACCCTTCTTTCGTCCCTTCGTTCTCACCATGTCCCTTTGGGGTATTCGCGATGTCGAGAGCGAGGTTCCATTGCTAGGCTTTTCTAATATTTCTACCCGGGCTGCAACTAAAGATGCGAGTTCTAAGAATGTATAAATAAAATTAGAAATGACAATCTAATCATTTTTCGAACAACCAATTAATTTCAAAGTCCAAGTTGACTCGTATTTTTCCTTAATTGCAATATTATTGTGGAAACTATGTTTGTTAACTTTCTTCTCAGAATTTTCTTCCCGTAAGTTTCTAAGATAGCGGGTGTCGAGTATTTTTCTCATTGCAATTAAATTCAGCCTAGCAAAAGCTTGCAATCAGAAAGCCTAGATCTCTAATTGATCCGAAGTTTCTCTAAGCACTTCCGTAACCGCAAGGAGAACGTTAGAATCCATCGTATAGAGAGAGGTTTTCTCCTCTCGAATGTGTGTCGACCCCGAAACGTTCGATCATTCAGACTTGTCGACACCGTTACCAATAGTTGTACGTTAAACATCCTTGTGTTAATAATAAGAGGATTCGATCAATATTCGATACTTTCTCCTCTCGCGACGAATTTCTCTGAATACGTCGAAAACGTTCGATCGAAATGAAACCAGGTCATCGTAAGTCTCCGCGGATGATTCTTCTCGTTAACGAATTTTCCAAACTGCTCTCGATAGTCGAGCAAGCTTCGTTTTATTTCTTTTTTCCGTCTACAGGACACGAGGCTGAATCCACGTGTCGATTTTCTTTTTTTCCTTCAATTTACGAGAATCGAAAACTGGGTCAACGATGACAGCCTCCTCTTTCTCCCGGTTGTACCCGAAACCGAAAGTTGATCTCCCAAGAAGAAAGACACCTTCTTTCTCCTGGGTGTCCCTTATCGAACCGTCATCTCCTTCCCGATCCTTCCCAATCGAGCCGGAGAAAGCGACTGAACGAAACGAGGCCGACTTATTTGAATGAAGGATACCTCGCGCGTTGTTCGAACAACTTGGTAGTTTTCCCTTCGTTCCGATCATCTTTGACATTTCCTAACGTGGAAAGATCAAAATTGAACATCCAGCGACATCTATGTCCTAGAAATCGTCTTATCGACGAATATCAAATTTGGCATGATGATTTATATAATAAATTGAAAATTAAGATAACTGAGCAAGAGTTGTATCGTAGCAATTATCTCATTTTTCATTCGCTACTTTGCCAATTACCAGTGACCTCCACAGTAATCAAGGTATTAATGAGAATCACGTGTTATCGTTTTGATAGCCGACAATGATAAGACACGGATACTTGCTATAACTGGTATCCATCTTTAGCTATTTTATTTTTCTGCATACCAGGTCACGTTTCATAACGTGTATATCATTCTAAGGAAACAGCTGATTATATCCTTTGAAAATAGAGCTTTTCTTATTTTCGAAAAGGTAATAGTGGAAGTATCGGTGAATTTGCAAATTTCGTTAAATGAAGAAGTAGAATTCTTGAGAGGCGAATTACATTCCTAGAGTAACTCGATGCTATCGTCACACCTGTCGTTAAAGTCCCGCTAAGTTCCGCAATGCGGAGCAACGAACATGGCATATTTTTCGTACAGAGAAACTTCGAATACTCCATCGACCGCGATCATGGCATATTGAACAATTTTATCCGAAGAATATTGTATATAAAATGAGATATCTGAATTGTTTTTGTCAAGAGCACGTGTAAACTGAGAAAATCAAATATTTCGTATTCTTGAAAAAGAAGTTTCAATATTCTTTTCATTTTTCGTAATTGCACGCGGTAAATTTCATACGAATATCCGGTTGATTAACTGTGCTTGACCGGTAAAATCGTTGGTAACGGAAACGTAAACGATTCTTAATAGAAAGTCGATTCCAACTATTTCTAGATCGTAAACAGACCAAATCCGCGGATAACGAGTAATCTACTTAACTCGTCGGCTTTTCGTATTCGTTTCATGTTCGCTTCACAAATGTTACGAGAATTTGCATTATGTTTAAATATAATAAACGCGGAACGTGTTTCATTTCCAATTCAAACAGGATAATTGCGATAAACTCTCAGCTATTACTTTTAATTTACGGTAATTCAAAGCAACGATACTCGGTTAAAATTTCCTTTCAATTATCTTCACTTGCATCTTTTTATCATCTCATGATTTATTCACCCGGTCAATTATGTAAATTGTGGGAAGGTAGATGAAGATATAGACACGTTACAAAAAAGAAATAAATATTTATTTATACAGGTAAAAAAAAAAATAACATAAAAACAACATTATTGTACAATCATTATCCCTCGTTGGAGGGACGGACAAATAAGTTAATCATAAATTAGTTGATAAACGAAGTGTAATTAGAGAAAAGCGTATACGTCCGTTTGTCGCGTCGATGGGAACGTCTTGTTCGTCCGTCGGTCGTTCGAAGCATGATTGAATTTTTCAAACATTTCTGGAAACAATGGATGAATGAAGTCAAATGTTGTGTCAGTCGAAACATAGTCCGGTCAATTGTCAGTCGGTTGATGGTCAAAGAAAGCAAAGATATCGTTCGAGGAAGAAAAATGAAAACGGTCAGTGAGAAAGATCGAAGAACAGGTAGGAAGAATTAGAGAAAGACGGAGTCAAAGAGAAAATGAAATACTAAATCTAACGGCAAGAACGTGTTGGCAAGAATCGATGGACACCGAGGACCCGACTCGGTCTAGCAGACGAAAGCCAGTTAGGTTCGAATCAGGTACCACGAATTCGGATCTTCGAACTCGTCATCATTTAGCATGGGCCGAGTAAGCTAAATCGTGGGCGTCCGTTTGCCCGGAAATCGGGCTCTGACCATGGAAACTTCTGGCCCATCCGCTCGAGTAACTGTCACCGTGTCCATGGTCCGAACTGTAGGTATGGCTGGAGCTGTGATGAGGGTGTGCGACCACTTCGTACGTCACGTGCTTCTGTTGCGAGAACAATTTCTTCAGGCCGATTATACCAGCCAGGAGGAGAGCGATCTTGGAGAGAAGAAGCGCCTTGCCGACCAACAGTGCGAGTGCCTTGAATGCCAAGCCACCGATCAGACCGATCTTCAGCACCGCAGCAGCGATCAGCGGCCCCATGTTATTGTTCTTCTTCCCACGACCTGAAACGAGATATCAAATGAGATTGTTGTCGCTTTCGTCGAGGAAGGTAAACGTCGAGGACTTTCTATGGTAGTAAAGTTTGATGAGGCGTGACTAAATTGTCGGATAAAGGAATCTTTGTTTTGTGGCGGAGGTTTAATTGTCCGGGTGTCAAAGTGAATTTTCAGTCTTGAATCATTGACACTTGAGCGAAGAAAGGATCTATCACCATCGATAATTAAAAGAAATTCTAGCTCCTGTGATAATTACCATCCTGAACAGGAACATTATCCGCTCGTTCGATGGACAGGCCTAGATTCAACGAGCCATTTTCATCCTCCGAGGCGGAAACAACAACGTCGTCTTCTGGAAGAATCCTCCATTTGATGCTTCTAGACTTGACGAACGCGTACACCTTGTTCGCAACAAGGTCGAGGACCTCGGATTCGTCGTCTTTGCTTCTACCAGCTTCGAATGTGATCACCTCCTCGGACGCTTGGCTAGTTTTTCTGATCTCGATGTCGTCGGTCAACTCGATCGATGCCTTCTTCAGCAGTTTGTTCATGTACGTCACAAGCTTCAGCATCACGCAGCTACTCACGTCGTTCTGAGAGCACTTGGAGTTCAATTTACGAAGCAACTCCTCCTCGTATTTCGCTCGATCCGTTAGCGTCACAGACTGCTGCTCGAGGACGCTGATCTTGTCGAGCTTCTCCAACGGATTCGCCAGACACGCGGACAGGTAGGAGATCAACAGGAATACTATAATCGTCTTCATCTTGTTGCTCTGTAAAATCATTCTTTGTTCAATGCTAGGGACCGGTTAATCGTCTAACAATTTTAACACTAGAGCTACCGAAACAGTCAAAATGACTGGTTTCAAGTTTCTTATTTTAATTTATAAATATTTTAAGGCATTTTTGCTGGAATGTATGTTGGCTATTCTATATTATTTTCAACTTAAAAATTAATTTCAGACCATGAAATCAAGGTCACTGTTAAATCTTGAAAAAGGAATGATTTAAAAAATCATTGCTAGGACACCCTTCAACATCAACCCTCAAAATAATTTGCAAACTCAACACAACAGCTCTAATAAAAAGGAATAAAAATAAAATAATTAGCGTCCATCCCCAAAGGATCAAATAATCAGAATTTAACGAATCCAAAGAACGATTGAATGACAACGAGGAACCCACCTGAATTTCGATCCTCTGATTGAGAAAACAGAAGCTGGGTCGAGGGCACGCTGAAGGGACGGCGCCTCTTCTCTCTTCCTTCCTTCCTGGCTGAAACTAAGGCACTACGCAAGCGTCCCTTTAGCGCGTGTGTGACCCGATGCGTGGATCGAGCGTAGCGAGTATTCTGGACCCGTCGTCTCGCCCCGGCCACTTTATATACGTAGATCTGAACGGCGTATACGGACGGCATACACGCGTAAGCAAACGCGTAAACGTGCAACACGCAACCGTCGAGCCACCACCATCCCGCAGGAGGGAGCGGGCCACACGAGGGCGGGTGGTGTGCCCACTTTTGCCTTTGATACGAGCTGGCTGGCTGACTGGTCGATCGGAATCCTGGTGGTGGGATTCGTGTTATACGACTGTTTGCCTCTCCTTCTACGCGCAAACTTGCTGAAAAGAGAAGCGACCTGATATCCCAAGGTGAAGGCTCTCGTTCTCTTCGTCGTGTAGCCGTGCAAAACTGGTTCCCCCTGGACACCTTCGTGGGACACCATCGACGGACATCGCTTCCACCGTGTACGGACTGTTGTTGTTGTTGTTGCTGTTACCTGCCTGGCTTACCAGCACACACTCGCGTGCCAGTATTACACGCATAGAAGATTCCTGGACACGTTGGGGAACCGCCACGACCCGCCACGAGAACCGTGTCACGTATGTGGAGCACGCGCGACATCGGCCGAATGAGTAGCCATTTCGGTACACCGACTGCGACCCAACGTGCAACCAGACGCGTTCAATGGAATCTTTACGGTTCGGATGCGATTCATCGTTTACAGGTGGGACGTTCGGGTATACAGGGTAGAGAGATATTTCTACGTGACCTGACCACTTATTCCTGTTAAGTAGATTATGAACCAGCGTCGGACGAAAATTCATGCAACCGTTGCTAGAAGAAATCTAGACGATTTACGTGCTTTCAACGGGCATGACATTCATTCTCTTTCTTATCGCTCATCAAGGATCTTCCCAGCCGTTGATTTTTCGCGTAGAGAGCGTAGAATGATTTACGTAGACAGCTGATGAACGCCGTGGAAACGACACGCCTGGGTTAGGGGAAAAGCACGATTCATCGATGCCATTTCACGGACTCTTTACTCGTCTAATTTCAGGACAGACACATTTTTCTTTGATTCTAGACTCTTCCTCTTCGTTTCGTTCGTACGACGCGTGGGAAAAATGAAGAAAAAGAAAGAAGGGAAATTCGCGACACGTGCACGGAACTGTTCCCGTGCTGGCACACGATACGGATTCAAATCGAGGTGAAAAACACTCTAGAAAGCAACGGGTCAGCGTTATATTACGCTCGTAAAGAAAGTAAATATCGCGGCACCGCGTGCCGTAACAAGAAACAATTACGCCAGGAAGAAGGCGTGTGTGACGAAGTGTGCCAAGTTCGTGGCTGGTATTCGCGAGAGTCTAGAAAAGTTCGAGTACCGAACCGATTCATCCGATACTGTTGCGAAGAATCCACCGTGTAATCTTCGTCTTGATACGTCGAATAAATATTTGCAAGAGAGCTTGTGGAGTGTAACGAATGATAAATGGTACTGTCCGAGAACAGTTAATCAATTTCAAAATTATTATCACGATATAAATGACTTCTGAATGATGCTACAGAGTTACAGTTCAGCTTTAGCGGTGTCGAGATCGGAACCAGAAGAACCGGACAGGGAGAGCTCGCAGAAAAACAACGATATCCGCTTTTCATTCTTGAATCGAACCTGTTTTCTTATGCAGGCTGCTTTCGCGAGAGACAAGTGGCCGATGCAATCCTCAGAATTTTTATTTTACGTCTAAAAATTACCCAGGGTTAATTAAACTTCTTCGATCGACAACCGAATGACCTGGGTTCGGTAACAAATAAGCAACGAGACGAAAACTTTCATCTCCAAAAGGAATCGCGACTGCAATTTGCATTTCGAATATGAAAATATATCGCACGCGACTCGTCCTCATTTTTGAGAACCGACGCAGTCATAAACGCGCCACCTTCTTCCCGCCATTTCTAATCTCAACAAATATCGTTACAAAAAATTCAGAAAAAGTGTGCCGGTGTGGAATTGTACATGGTGACCGATTATTCGCAGCGACCATGGTTGGATCTCACGGTGTACGATGGAGATGTTTTGGTAGTCCACGAACCGTTACGTCGAATTCCACTCGAACGATTTGTCAGAGTCGCCAGACGTCGTGGGTGACCGATTTCCGGTGAAATTTCCGATCGTCTTTCGATAGATTCGGTACTAGTTACGAGAAGCACACCAAAGTTATTTTGGCGTGAGAAAAATTAGGAACGAATATAATAACACACTTTCGCGCTAGAATTCCAGCGACTCAACAGAGCCGATCGTAATCAACATCGACGATTAATTACTCGGCAGGTAGCTCCTACAGTTAGACATAGGGTGTTTAATTTTCAACAAAATTAATTTATTGAAAGATCCTCATTGATAATAGAAGCTTCCATATCAGAATTTGCTACAATTTATAATAAAATTGAATTTTAATTAAAAATTTCAATTTGTGACAGAATTTTCAGAATATTAAAATTCCTAATGTACTAAATTCCTGCCTGTTCCTAGCAAAATTTCTGCTAGCCGAAAGGATCGAAGGAAAATAACGCTTGACATTCCCACGTCTCATCAAGAACACACGAAGCCTATCCCGTTTCCTTCGAACCGTTCGCCGGTCAAACGATGAGAATTAAACGATCGACCACGGCGAAAAACGGAAAAAGATATCAAAAGAATCGGTCACGTGCGAATCTTGGCGATTTGCATTGCTCGAGCGCCGTTGATATCTACCTGTTTCGTTAACTTTCTCCAGGTAACCTTGTTCCCTCATTCTTTTTCCCCTCGCGCACGTTACCGTTCATATACACGATTTAGCGCGATCGCTCGACCATGCAGACAGGAAAGTTCGTATTCTACCCTCTATGTGACGTAAAGGACCCGCCGTTATCAAGGTCATCCTTGGGCGTTCGTCACCGTGGGAAGCCCATTCGCGGCCTTGATTTCAGTCACTGACATCCACGGGGTCATCCAACTGTGCAAACTTATTAAATAGTATCGTGGTAATTGGTATAATATTAATGGTGCTAAATGGTAAAATTTAAATTTAAATTTGGGAAGTAACCGATCGTCTCGATATTAATATCAATCGAACGGATCGATCGACCGCGATATCGCGGCGTGTTTAATAGCGACGGGTTTAAAAGTGAAACTATCGCGAGAACGTATAGAATGGTGCGGTTGCGGGTCGCGAGAGCATCGGGAGATCGATAAGGATTTTCACTGATCGTTACTGTGAAACAGGTTTGCCCCGTTTGCGGGCCTTCGTTAAATCGTCGGAGGTTTTTCGGTATGGAATAATGAAATATTATGGAAACCAAGAGAAATCGCGTGATTTCTTGTAAAAAATTCTGACCGAGAAGATCGGGAATGAGGATGAATGAGTGGGAAGGATTAAAAATTAATTACTCGATTAATGACACATTTATTTTTCACAATTTTCTATACAGACAACTGAACAATGCGATTCGAATTTTTTTTTTTTCTTTGTCGAACATTCATAGTGTGTCGTGTTCGTGATTCTCGGTAGCCCTAAAGAATGTCAACTTGAAGGAAGTGCACGATTTCATAGTGGCTCGTGTACGATGAACTGGTTCGCAAAATCGAGTGTTTTTGCCTCGAGTGCCACGGCTTTCCGTGTTTTCCGTGCATCGCCTCGGGACGGCAGACCGCTTCCGGTCTTCTGATCGAATGAGGCCACTTGGTCAACGGGTCCGTTCCATCCGATTCTCTGGATCGCCAGTGAGAATCGCGTTCAACCGGTTGTCCCGTGCACGTTCCTTCCATCTTTTGCCGACACCAGAAAGAGAGAATCAAGCGTGATATCCTCGCGACACGAGATTTTCACGCTTTGAACCCGGCCACTTGTCACGCGGTGAAACGGCTACAAGAATGTATGGACGACGTTAAAATCCTTCGACGTGAATTTCTTTCACAAGGCAAGGAGATGGCATCGTGATTAATTAAAATTAAGGGATGAGAAATTACACCTGTGTTGATACACAATTCAGTTCGAAGGGACCAGAAAGAAACTACAAATTTTCAATGACAATGTAATTTACATTGATGTACAATAATCAAAATAGCGGTAATCCGTTTAAGCAGGCTGCAGAGGTCGATGTCCTCGTTTTTCCGCAATTTCCAGCTCCAAACATTATTATTATGATGAACCGCAGAAAAAATACAGAAAATGGACAACTTAGAAAGGTCATCAATTTTCGTAGGAACAGTAGTTTATTGTTACTAATTGCTAACTTAAGGCTAAGCTGACAATATTCCTTAAACACTGTCACAATAAATAATTCAAAACGTATGATAGAAAAATATACCTATATACATCACTAACGAAAATATATGAGAAACGTCAGCGTCTTTTTAACTAATTGTAAATGATCTATGACGGTCTATTGAAAAATGGCAACGTAATTTGGCCAAGAATCTCCAATTCCCGAAACGTTAATTCAACAACGCCTATTGCTATTAGAAGAGAGCTTATGTCATGAAAGTCTAGAAATATATCTTCAAGAACAAGAATGACTTAAATATCATAAATATTATAAAACTGGGGATAATTATTTCAGTCATCCTCGTTCTCAAAGGCTTAAATAAATCTATTTAAAAAATATAAAACTATCAGGTTCTTTACAAAACCTGAGCAACGAAGAGAGCGTTCGTCTACGATTGATACTCTTGATAGCCTCGATAAGCAAGGTCCTGTCCAAAGGACACGGTATCACCGTGAAAACCACCATGGTACTCCGAACCATGATGAGCACCCTGCTCGTAAGGATTCGAATTATCCTTGTAATAAGGATAAGCGATTCCGCTCTGGCTATAAACCGGAGGATGATAATTTTGCGTGAGAGGTTTGTACAATTTTAAGAAACCGATCACACCGGGTATCACGATCGCCAGGAAGCCAAGGAACTTCTTAAAGGACGCCAATCCCAGGATCAAAGGGAGGAACAAGAGCAGTTTCAATTTAAAGAGCTTCAACACGATCAGCATTGGAATAAGCAGCCTCTTCAGTTGATGTCGAGCTACAAGAAGATTAAATTAATAATTTAATCCTGATGGTAGCAACAATTTGTAAGGATGAAGAGGACTCACAGAAGAGAGTATCCTTCTTATTTTCAAGCGTGTCGATCTCATCCGCGATCTCGTCTAAAAATCGAGGAGCATACACCTGGTTGTCTCCAGTCTCTTCGGATGGAATCTGCAACTCGATGGCCACGGTTTTCACGAATTTTTCCGCTTTTCTTAACGCGAATTTCATCAGCTGGTCCCATTCAGAGTCGCTGGACCTGAATTATAGAAAAATGTTAGCAAAGGAAAGGATTAAATCGTTGAATTCAGCAAATTTATGCGTACCTCGCTTCTCCAGAGTATTCGTACGGCTGACGACTGACTTCTTTCACTACGTCCCTGGACAACCTTACAACCTTCACATAATCGTTCAAATTATACTGTGGCTGATCAAAGAAATCGGAAAAGTAACTGAGGGCCTGGGATTTGAAGCATTCCGCCAAATCGCCATTCAAACAACCCTTGTTCGTTTTCGCTATGTACGGATCTACGTTTCGTCCTGTTCCTAGACCAATCCAGTCGAACAGACCCTTCCCTTGTCGGGTCTTATTATAAGGTATTTGCTGCTGTAATTGTTCCTGTACCTCCGGCGCATGATTTTCTAAAAGAAAGGAAATGGCAATCACCAAACGAAACAGAAACGAATATTCATCTTTCTGAATTTGCTATCGTTAATTATGTAAGATTATTAATAATCTTCAAGGTCTGCTATGAAATTTTGAATTTGAAAAACATACCGCGTCCTTCAGCCCCGTCACCGGAAGTTCCGTCTTCGAAGGTGACCGACAGACAGGGTACCAACAGTATCCAGAGCACCAGACCATGGTTTACCAACAACTGCACTAGTCGCATGCTGCTCACCTGAACGTTGCACCTGCAGTTACGTAGCTTTATCGACACTCATTTTATTATTTGTAAACAGACAGCTCTGTAAACGTCGTTTAAAAGAACGACAGAAACGAAACGGATCGAATGATCGAGATGTGTTCTGGTACTAGCGCGATCTCAAAACAACTATGTCCTTTTTTGAGCAAAATTTCAAGAAACAAATTATTAAAAATGGAGGATCAACTCTTACCAAACTTTGTCAAGTAACTGGTTTCCAGAACGACATGGCGCAACGATTTGGGAATGGAAAAGAAAAAATGACGTTGATCGTGATTCACGAACCGCACTCGAGTGTCTGCTGGAGAACAGCTTCGATCGTAACCGCGCCGTGGATTCCGATGTTCCGTTAGTTAGACGGACCAATCGGAGCACGATATTCAAAGGAACCGGGTCCGTAACCTTCTATTCCGGTCGCGTGTCCGCGGTATTCATTACACCGATCACGTACACTATTAATCAACCATCGATCATTACCGAATTTCCAATTTTCGTGTGGTACCGTTGCAAAGTTCTCTTTTTTAATCCTTACACAATGGATCGCTAAAATGGCGATGATTTAAATTTAATTTTATACTATTTTGAGTGTCGTTATAAGTGATATTTTTCAAATGCTCGAAAGCCTTTCGTCGAAGAATTTGAATGTCTAATTTTAGTCGAAGCACCGTTGCGTGGTTTCGTAATGTCTGAATCACGATTGACCTGGTGTTGCCATTGGAGGTTTAAGTCGAAAGGTTCGAATTTTAGAGTATTTTAAAGGATTTAGAATTTTTTCTGCTAGGAATCAGGAAATTGCAATTATAGCGAGGTGCCATACTGGATAAGATATAAACATCGCGTACAATCTATGGTAGCCATAATCTCACATATCTCAATTTCTTTTTCATATATCAGAAGCACGTCACAATTATTGCACGATTACGAAAAGTGATCGATCCAGGAATTTCAGTTTTTAATCGAATCTATCAAAACACCATCGTTAACAGTATCATCGCGATAATCCGGGGAAAATGTTGCGCACAAACGATTCTCACCTTTTCAATGGAAACGCGATGAAAGAACGGTTCTGTCCACGATCCCGATTCAATAACACCTTGATGCATGAACTTGAAGAAATGCGACGCATCCGCTCGCGTTTGACCACATTTATATGAACTACCAACGTTCCTCCGAAGAGACAGGGAGAGGGTAAGATCGTGGGTTGTTACGGGAGAAGAAAAAAAGAGATGTTGAAAAAAATCGAAAGTGAAAGCAGTCCGGCCGGATATAGGACCGGAATCGGGCAGTTTTCAACAAAGAGAGACGAGCAAGCGCAACGAATCCGACAGAGTCATTGGACTTTCCTTCGTAATTCTACGATCGAACGTGCGTCATAGCCTTGCTCCTTTCGTTTTCTCCCGTGACCCATACACACCCACATTTACACATTTACACTCTGCGTGTCTTTCTTCCGGCTTACCACATCAACCCTTTCCGTATTCCTTTCGACTTCTTTCGAAAACAAAATTTCACCGAAACCGGGATAACACGATTCACTGGTTCCACGTGACGAAACATTCAAAACGCGTTCGTTTGCGTAACTATTTACCGTTTAAGGAGAACTAATTAGTATTCGCGTAGCGTTTTATTGACGCACTGTACAAGAAATTCTTTGACAAGAGCCGATTATCCGACCCTGATCAAATAAATAAATATAATAAATAAATAGCTAATCGATAAGAATTCGAGGCGACGTCAATGTTGCCTCGAGCTCCTCGATAATTCGCTACGTTATTACAATAGTACGCTAAATTGCTAATCACTCTGTGTCGCCTATTGAAAATCAAAGCGTCGTCGACGTCGCGACGCGATGATTTTCATAGGTGTTTTCGATCAGCGAGATTCGAAGGACTCCACGTAGTCCGATACAAATGTCTTCGAGTTTATGTTTTCGATTATTCGTAGTTCGTATACGGTATAAATTAAAATATGCAGATACTGTTAACTTCTTTTGGACTTTGAGCTTGTGATTCGCAATGTTTCACCAAATAGTAGACATTTAAAACGGTAAATATTTAATACTTTCACTCCAGTATAATTAAATAGCAATAAATTAAAAGATGATAGCGTAAAAAGTTACATATTCAAATCACAAATGCGTGAAATAGCTATTAAAGTGTTAAAATCAACGTGCGGCGCCGTTTAGCTGGTGATTTCAATGCCTGGTTGGTAATGTCTTCGCGCCGGTAAACTTATTATTCTCATTTCCACAAAATTTCCCAAATACTTAACATCGAAATGCTCGAAAGATGTAGAATATATAGCAATAAATTAAAAGATAATAGCGTAAAAAGTTACAGTTTAAAATCACGAATGCGTGAAATAGCTATTAAAGTGTTAAAACCAACGTGCGGCGCCGTTTAGCTGGTGATTTCAATGCCTGGTTGGTAATGTCTTCGCGCCGGTAAACTTATTATTCTCATCTCCACAAAATTTCCCAAATACTTGACATCTAAATACTCGAAAGATGTAGACTAAAAATGAAATGATTAATTAAATTTCCTCAAAGTCCCCGTATCTGCATATCATCGACAAGAAACACCAAACTATCTCGCGACGATACTACTCGAGACTACATTCGATCGAATGGACACTATTCAGTTCTAATACATCTTTTCACAACTTTCTCGCGTGTACCAGCTTGTCGATGTCCTGATAAGTAGCAAGCATCGCCTGGTTTTGTCTGAGAGTTTGATCCTCCCGCGCAACAGCACACTTCGAATAAGCGTCCTCGCATTTCACTCCGTCCTGGCCATCCTTCGCTGCTTTCATGTAACGGAAGAACCTGAGGACATCCGGGTTGTCGCTACTGGGTCTCCTCAGTTCGTTCAGTTCCCTGGACAACTGTGCCGAGACCAGATTCGAGTAGGGCGCGAATCTGGCCGGGCTTCGGTACATCGCGCACACCGCGTACTCCCTGCAACCCTCCGTCGTGTGCCCGAGACGGGAAAACACGGCGTCGAGACGCGATAACAGCGGGGAATAGAAGGGGTCGTAGTTGGTCAGCAGCAACGAACTCGTGGGAATCTCGTGGAAAACCTGTGAAGTTTATTAATTCAATTGGACGGTTTTGATGTTATACTGATCGAGCAAGTGAAAAGCTTATCGCGTTGATTGCGAGTGTAAAAATGAACGTGCGTGGATTCGAGATACCTGCAAGATACTCGGATCTCCATCTTTAAAGATATTACCTTGAAGTCTTGCTTTTTAGAGAGCCCGTTGGCGGCTACGTGTCTAGTGTAATAGCGATCGGAAATGGCGTTTGCGTGAGTGATCCTAGGATCGACGAAGGAATATCGCGAGGCTATGTCTGGGCTCTTCTGTGGCTGCATCATACTCTCGTCGTACATCGCGGAAGCGGGCAACGTTCCTACCGGTTGTCGTGTCAGGTAATCGTCGTTGTACAGGTCAGAATTGTCCTTGAACTCGAAGCTCTCTTCTGGTTGTGCCGTGGTATGCGCTGACTGAGCGAAAGACGAGACACCTAGAAAAATGATAATTATTTTAAATATCAAATTTCTTCAAATGGAAATACTTATACAGTAAGGCTGATAGTGAAACTAATTTCCCTAAAACGAAGGGATCGAAGATACGTACCTTTACCAAGGATATTACCGATACTTCCAATGATACTGGGCAGGAAAAGTGCAATGAGAACGCTCTTAAAGATCTGTACACCGAAAATCAGAGGTAGCAGCAGCTTCTTCAGGCCAAACGCTAGAAAACCAAGTCCGAATCCTGTTAAAAAGGTACTCTTTCCCTGAAAGATGGCTGAAAGCAAAAGTACCAGCACATTAAAGCCCTGCGGTTAGTCCTGTAAGCCATGCTGCAGCCAGCATATTCTCTCGCCGTCAAGTATCTCGTACTCCAAATCGTTGCGGACGCGTGTAAAATTTGCTGTAAAATCATTGCTGAACGTGAAATTTTTAGCGACGGCCAATGCGATTGACACGCACGCAATGACCGGTGATTCTCGTGAACGAAGCCGAAGAACGGGGATTCTCGTTTTGTGCCAATCAGCGGTTACCAAAGCCTAAGTTAATCATTTTTAGCACGCAAAAAGCCAATCAGTAAATGTAATAAGCATTCCATTTTTATGTTAAATAATTTTTTCTCGCTCCGTCCACGTAGAACTGCGTACACCAATGTATCCTCTTTCGATCGAGACGAAAACGTGTTTTGAGTCTTGATGGTAATAATTTTGAATCCTGACAAACCTGATCTCCTCGAAGAATTTCGACTTCGAAGTAAGTCAAAGGAAAAGCAGGTTTCTAGCTTCTTTGACTCCTGTATTTCCTGTTTCGGGAAAGTCGACTCAAAAACGTACGTGTTGACATAAACATGCCTACTTTCTCGGTGATCGTCGAATTCTAACAAGACATTTTTCCCTCGCTCGAAAGTTAATTTCTGACCGGCATTTCATCGGCTACCATCAAGACCCAATTGTACAAACATCATCGGCACGTTTCGATTCCGATCGCGTTAACACCGTTCAATTTTTATCGAAAATTTATGAAATATTTCAGGTTGCCGTCTTTTATCTACTTACTATTGGAACAACATTCGAAACGTGCCGATGAAGTTTGCCTTTCCTCACGAAACACCTGGTTTCTGGTATACGATCCCGAGGAACCATCTTCCACAGCACACACAGAGCGACAACAGCGAGAAGCAACATCGAACGTGGTACGAGTGGAGCAACAAACAATCAAGTACATAGCAACAACGCAACATTCTCGCAAAACATGCGGCGCGGGCAAGTATCTCACATTCGAGACGCTGGTACGGGCAAGTTAACGAAAGCGTGACTCGAACAACGTTCCGTGGACTCACCGTTGAAGAAGGTTCTAGCTTTTCTACCGGGAATTAAATCCTTGCTCAGACGTATCTTTATTACGTGCTCTCTTGCGTACCGACGAACTTTATCGAGTAGGCTCGCGTCCGAACGGACGTTACCTTTTTCGTCCGTCCTAGCGACGTCCCTGTTTCTTATAATCTGCACACTGTCGGTCACGTTGTAAGCGTCCATTCCAGACAGCCTGTCCAACAGATCTGACAATTCCTTCCGGACGCACGGCGTCGTTCGATCGCCCTGGCAATCGGTCCACCCGATCGGAGAGGACGTCGCGTTCTCCATTTGCGACGCCTCTATCTGATACTGTAGCTTGTCGTCGGTTTGTATCAGCTGATTCATGTTCAAGTCGAATTTCGTAGGTTTCCCAGGTGACTGGTGAAGATGTTGGTCATCCGGGTCGTAGCTGGTGAACGATACCTCGTTCTCGTGCACCGGGCGACCGGTATCGTTCAAGGCCGACACGTGTTCCTTGACCCCGACCGCCGGTTGGAGCCACGCGATCGCCAACACCGCCAAGATCGCGCCTCCTCTCGATACACCCATGATCCTCCAGGCTTCCGTTTCCCTAACAATCACTCCAGTCTTGACACTCTCTCTTGGCTAGCTACTTTTACCGCCGATCGATAACTGCATCTCGATCGGCCGTGATCGTTCGCTGCTCTCTATGATGATGAAAAAAAATTAATCGAGGTATCACTCATTAAGACACGCAAGTGCGCAGGTATTTTTACTGTGCAAAGAGGAGAAATTGATTCAACCTTTGATGAACGCCGATCTTTTTTCAAATAATCAACTTCTTATCTTTGCGCTGTACAAATGGACGTCGTTTTAATTAATCTTCGTCTGAAGAGGGAGAAACAGGAACTGGTAACAGTGAACGGTAACAGTACTTACCAAGGTTGCGTTTAAAAATCGAAGAATCTGAGTGAAAGATTATATGGTAGCTTCGATTGTCACGACAGAACGTTCCCGTTCGAACGACACCAGGTACACGAAACTGTTCGTGTTAACGATCGTCCATAGTTGTAATAAGCTTCTCGATCTTGGTCCAACGATTGTGAATGAGTATTGGTTCGATTATTTCGGGTTCGAACGTGATCGGAAACGATCGAAGTGAGAACGACACCGTGTGAAATGAAAGTTCGAGACGACGGCCGACTCGATACTGGCGAGTCTCCGGAGGATCGGCTGGACTGATCCGATCTGGGTTACCCGGCCATCCGTCTGTTCGTCCCTCTGTCCGTTCCTTTCCACCTTCCACGTTCGTTCATTCGTCCATTCCATTCCCACCGACTGCTCACTTTGAATCTCCTTCTCTTCTTATCGCGTCGACGGTTCGTCGTCCTCTTCCATTCAAATCCGATCGAATTCGAGGTGGGTCTAAAGAACGACCGGACCGATTTCACCGGCTGGAATTTCGGCTGATGACGCTCGACCAGAATCTTTTTTTCTTTTCCTGTCTTCCCGTTGCTTGTTTATATTCTTGTTCCTGTTCCCTGGCAACCGACTTGTGAAAGATAATAGTACTTCGATGTATATGCAAAGGAAGTGTTAATTAAAATAGAATTTATGGTGTGGCGTTATCAGAGACACTATTTTAATTATTTGGTCATTTCCAGGAATCGTAATTGTTTATCTAAATAATTTTTAGAAATTTCTAAGCTCTCGACACTCGAGAGTGTGATCCTCCTCGCGCGGAAAATTCGACGCGGAAAATCGCACGTATCCAACGCGTGCGCCTCCGATGTCGTTGCACCGACGACATAAATATCGGCTTCGCATTTTCAGTGGACGTTCAAGTAGGCCACTAATCCGGTTTCGACTTTATTTTGTTCCCTGTCGAAAAGATCGCACGGATAAAACCCCAGTAATGAAGATGATTTTGCGTCTTTCTTCCGCGAACGAACCGCGTCGTCCGTCGTTAACGCGAAGAATTTCCATGTCGACGCTGTTCGTCGGGGAAAAGGGTACTTTGACAAAGTTCGAACAGATCGATCGAGCTGTGTTTTTACCAGCGATTTCACCGTAGTTCGTCCCGAATTCAAAGGCCGTTCGACGATTCCTCGAAATCGCCGATCGTGATCGCGTTTACTCTCACGTTGAGCCAGGAAAACTTACTGTTGAATATTGATTCGAAGGTCGTCCGATCGAAATAGTCACAGGTTCATTTGAACTCTAGATACGTACATGGTCTATTGTATTCTTAGTACAATTATTCGAATCACTGGCAAGTAACATATTCGAGGAACAAACGGGATACCGATGACGAGTCGCTGACGTTACCACATTTCACCGGCATTTCCGATTGATACTTAATAAAAATACGCTTGGATGTTAAAAATATGTTTCACTGGAAAACAGGGTCACACCATCCATTTTATTCTTTCGAAAAATCTCAGGTTCATAAAGAGCTGAATTTCTAGTAATGGTACTTATTTTCAGAGAAGTACATGGAAAGCATAAGGTCGTTGAATTCTACGAGTCTTCCTTTGCATTATGCAAAGCTAGTAGAGAATTGAATCGACAAACTTTGTAGACTCTCTACACTTTCTCGAAATTGAGGATTCGGATAGGTAACCTACTAAAATATTTAACCGACCAGTGATTAATTATAATCCGATTGCACAGGTTGAATTTGATTAATTGTAATTGAACTTGACACTTGAATCGAGAAAAATACTTACCTTCCTGCCGGACCAGGACAAAGTAAACCGACCCGTTCGAAAGAGGAATACATACCAAAAATAAGATCAAAACGTAAAAGTGTACCGATATTAGAAAGTGCTCTATAATTGCCTGCCATTCGAATCTATCTGTTGGTGAATATCTTTCGTATATTCATCAATTGTACAAGCAACAGTGATATATCGAGCATCGGGTGGACGCATGGCGTGCCGTTATGTTAATACTCGCTTCTTGCTCGGTTCTAACGTAACGGTCGAGTTCTGGCGATGCGAGTGCAGGTTCGCGCTCCTTGGATCCCCGTCGATCGACTTCGACCGCTTCATCCGATCCACCTGGATCATTGTTATTAGCGTGACGGACGGTTAGCGGGTATCGCGTGGAACGGCTGGGAGCGATGCTCACTCGCGTCACCGTGGTCACCGCGGACGCAAGTGCACCATATCCGCCTCGACTCGTCCGGGGATCGATAACGGTCAACGTGTCGATCGTGCGTGGGTCAACACGCGTGCGTGTACGCAACTCGGGGCGGCACTCGTCCAAATCTGTCAGTAGGTCACTCGTGCCAGGGGCCGAGAAACGTTCTTTCGAATGGTTTCCAATGGGTCGACCTTGGCCATCGTCTTCTACCTGCGTGAATGACCGATCGCGTGCTGGCTGGACTTTTTCGGCTGAGAGAAGATTCATTTTAATTTATACTAATTATAATTGTAAATGATCAGATTTATGATGATGTCTCGATGGTTTTAAAAATTCATAATAATGGTACGAATTATGGTAAAATGGTAATTGTGATTTGAGATACAAGGTATTCGAATAATGATAAGAAATCGATTTTAAAAATTAGTAAAATGGTAAAATGGTAATTGTGATTTAGAGTACAAGGTATTCGAATAATGATGAGAAATGGATTTAAAAAATTTATTAAATATTCACTACAGTTACAGTAACGCGTACCGTATATTGCCTAAGTAATCTTCAAGGATCTTCCTTCACCCCAAACAACTCGAGCGCCTTTTTTATTTACTATCACAATCGCTGTGCCAGCATATCGAAAATAAATCCTAGAACAAACGGCCAGTCACTAACGATCATTCACTGCAAACTACGTTCGCGAACGGACCACATACTTGAGCGTACGTATCCGTTACGATCCAGGAAGTAAACGGCGTTGACATCACGCGAGCTGCTCCGGTACCACGAAAATCCGTTCTCGTAACAACGGATTTACGGTACCTAACGTGCATTTCGATATTCGAATGCTCGCGTGCGGTTATCGAGCTGATTCGTGGCGTTTTCTTTTATCGTAAGGCGTGTTCGTGACTTTATCCGTGACTTTTGAAAGCGCGGCTCGCTAACGGTACGCAAACAGTGTGAAAGTCTCAGGGATTTTTCGCGACAACGAACACGCCTCGATAATCGCTTCGTTAAAGACAGTCTCTCTCTCTCCCTGCTCGTTTGTCGCCGGTCGGTAAAGGGTGTTTAGGAGCGAATAGAGATGATTAGCCGCGAGGAGGAAACGATTGGCACATGGAGAACACGCAGTCGAAAGTTGCTAGAAAGAATACACAGAGCAGGGTCATCGTTCGTCAACTCGAAGATTCGTCCGCGACGATTCCGTCCAGGATACTCGCAGCGACGAACGAGAAGCTTGCTCGACGATTAACTAAAAGTTTCCTAAGCTTCATCCGTAGGGATTGCGGAAACCATAGTAACCGTAAGCTACATCATTCCTATGCGCCCACGCGTCCTCGTGACCGTATCCTGTGGAAAGACAAAGATTCTAAATTAACATATTTTTGAAATATTCCAGTCAGTCGACAGAAGCGAACAGACCGTCACATTAAAATTATGCCTCATATATAAATTACTGATATTATCCTCATCGAGTCATTGTCGATGACTCGAAATATACCATTGGAATCCAGTGTTACGTAACTGTAGTTGATTGATAATAAAAAGAAAGAAAGGTTATTTCGTACAATCGAACGTTGATTCGATATCTACAGCCGGCTGAACTCTGTAATCGCGTTTCGTAATCGATTGTAATTTACCGCCTACCGAAATACCGAAGCATGACGCGGGTAACGTAAACTTGACCCAGTTTCCTTACCTGTTGGATAATCAACAGGAGCCTCGGCAGCGGTGGCCCATGTCTGATAAGCGTGCTGCGGATGTTGAGGGACCTTGCAGATCTTCAGATGCGATAAAACAGACGGTGCTACCACCGAAGCGAGCAACAACAGCTTCTTGATGAAGTGCACTCCTAAGAATATAGGCAGAAGCAACAGCTTCAGCTTCAGAAGATTCAGCAGAATCAGAATTGGGAGAATCACGGATTTCTTCTTTTTGAAGAGCCTCCACTCGTCTGAAGAGAAAAGGAATGAAAAGTATATCAGGATCTCTTCGAGAATGAATTTATTGAAATAATATGAACATCAAATTACCCGCTGATTCTTTTCTGCTTTGTATCTGAACCAGTTCATCCTCGTCCATGATCATGGGCATGCTACCAAAATTCCTGCCCGCCACGGAATTGTCAATGGTGTAAACCAGAGCACGTTTCGTCAGCAAGTCCTCGACAAGGTCCCTGACGAAGTTCAAGGCCTCGATCGCGTTGGTTTTGAACACCCGAGACTGAGGTAACTTCGGTAGAATCGACTGGCTCGATATGGACGGTATTCTTATTATACGAACCGGGCCATAAGTGAACTCCTAAATAACGAACGAAAGAAATTATAAAACAATCTTATGGAACGTTTAATTCTATTAAGATTAGAAATTAACTTTCGAATCCACACTGTTTAATTCATACGATGGACTTGGAGATATAATAGCGAGTATATAGAGCATAATGAAGAAGTCGCAGCGATGTTAATTAAAAAGTAAAAGTTTCTTCTATGTGTCGACACTCTCGCTGTTTCACGAACGTGCATGATAATAATAGTCTGCAACGCGATTCGTTACGCTGTATTTCAGACAAGTTCACGTTCGTTCTACTAATATGCCAAGTGATTTCTCGCGAAAAGAAAATGAACTTATTTGAAGGAGAAAATTTTATCAACGATTCCCGTCAAAAATATTACAAACGGAAGAAACGTACCTTATTCCTCACAGTATCGTGCAACCACACGACGACCCTGAATTTCCCGCAACTAATGAAATCCTTGTGGAAGCTGCAATCCGCTCGACATCGTTCAACAAACGTCGAATTACTAAACGCGAACGTCTGATCCGATAAATAAACAATCACCAGGAGAATACAACCGATTCGCACCGATCGATTCGGTCTAAAATCAATCCTGATGCACCGCATGATTTCGCGACCTAAGATCCAGTCCAACGATCATCAGCACCATTGATCATTCCTTATAGATCGATGAATTTCCATAACGTCCCTTCTAGTGAAAATCAGAATACAATTCGCGGAGGACAGATGCACAGGTGAACCTTGTTTGACCAGACATAAACACGAGCTTCGGTCCACAATCTCACTGACAGTGGTTAGATGCTGGTCTTGACCATTTATACGGCGTGTATTTAGGTCGGTGGGGGTACCGGTCCATGGCTTAGATAATACTGCACATAGAGACTGGTGCTTGATTCCGCGTGTTGCATCCGAACAGACGCAATGGACGAGTCTCGTGCTCTATATGAAACCAGCTCTGTCGTACTGGAAGAGTCGCAACCTTTTTCGAATAATCGAACGAACGCGCGGAACCTTGACGAAAAACACACCAGATGCACCTCGTCCATTGTTCGCGATGAAAAGTGGAGCAGCACTGTGTTTACGTGCGAGGAACAATGGTAAGCAGAAGGATGAAGGATCCAAGAGTAGACAATTGATAATTGCAATCGGCCAGGTGTCTCATTTTTGTCGTCGATTAGTTAAAATATATAGGTCCAAGTGTATCAATTTTTCAGAGGTCTAGTTTCCTAAACAATCAGAGCAGACGTTCTGACATTCCTGACGAGCCGCCGGTTCCTTCGTTTAAAGCCTTTTCCACGTGATAAGCAAGAAAATGCACAGGTACAGGTTCAGCCTCCTTTTCGGACCGGTTTGTAACCCTTAGTCGTCGAAGAGGCGGTGCTCCGTTTTACGGGTGAATTGTAAATCGAGCACGGCTGTCACCTCGTTTGCCGCCTCGAGGAAACAATATTACAGATAACTAGATCGTTCGAAATAATGTTCGAATAAACGAGGAGCAAGGATCATTCGGAGAATCTGCATGGAAAGGCGGAAATTTGCAAGATACTGAAAAATAAATGATGCAAAGTGCGAGATGTACAAAAACCAGTTCTCTGAGGAGATCTGCTTTCTCGTTGTTTCTGAATCTTTACTTTTCATTAGCCAACTGGACCTAATTAATGACATAGATTCCGTAACGAACGATATCATCCTCAAAAGTTGAATAGGTTTGCAAGAGTAGTAAGAAAGGCGAAAACGGTATTTTAAAAACTTATTATCTGATTTAATTTATCTTTTACGATGAGTAAATAGCATCATTTCATTAAATAGCGCGATGCAATATAATTTCTCGATCTTGATACAGGCGATGCTCGTTTAATTTATGTTGTCACTATATTACCCGAAGCATGCCATTTCGATTTTGTCGCGATTTCAATGCTCTATCTAATCCACGAATCTGGCACAGACGCACCCTTGTTTTTTGTTTCTCGTTCACTGTTCAGTATTGCGAGATTAGAACAGGAAGTTGCCGATCCTCGATGCACGCGGCACGACTCCATTTTACTGTCTTTTAATTGACACACTTCGACTTATCATCATATCACCGAACTAATAATTAGCTTCATTATCCTCAAAACTAAAACTTGAAATTCTAGAAATTCTAGATATTAAAACGATGAAAACATTACGATTAATTTACGATTATTGTACACCTATGCTTTCTTTCTACTACACTTTCCTACTCGTTCGTTCCACACGTGATACGGTTTTTGTTCTACATCGCGTTTATTTATTTTTAATCCAGCACGTGGAATAATATTTCACCTTTTATTTGAATATTTCGCGAATACCTTGCCCTCTATATTTGACTTCCTTGTACACTTCTAAGATATTCGATTTCTCTTCTAGATAAGATCGCGGGTCATTCCCAAGCACGTACCATTTTCTGCATTGACGAGGAAAGCCTCGAGCATTTTTAGTATAAAATTAGTTACACTATTAATAACCTTCGTTACCATCCATATTAATCATAGTAATTTAGAGAAAAGGATTGAAAAATTTGATGAAGGAGTGGTTGAGCTTTCAAAGTTCCAAGTGATTTTAAGTAATAAGGAACGTCGTAACGATCAGAATTCTCTGTACAAAAGGGAAAAGTGCGAGCTAAGCAGCGCTAAATGAAAGATGTACAACTTCAAAGGCGGGAATAAACTATGGCGCCTTTCACTCGTGGTTGCGAGCCACTTCCAAAAAGTACACACGGAAATTTGTACGCCGTCGATGACGAGAAGATTAACATCCAGATACCAATGCCTCGAAGCTGGAATCCTCGTAACCCAGAGCTGATCATTCGTTGACCCAGTTCTCGCGTCATCGACAGGATATGAATCGATAATTTCGTTGCACCCGATTCCCGATCCACATATATCCTTGTGTTGTCCGGCAATTAGAGAAAATGTTCACCGGTGCGACATTAAATATAAAAAATATACTTAGATTAATTTGATTGAAAGATCCAGTTTAGATAGAGCTTTAAGTAACAGTGTCATGAACATGAACATGATTAGGAATTCTTTTATTTAACTAATTAGAAATACTCGTACCAGGTAAAACGTTCGACAATTTCAGAGTGGCAATCGATCTGCTAGTTTGAGATTGAAAAGTTCGGATCATTCGAAATGATAAAATCGTGCTAGATTAATTATGAAGAAAATAAATTAGTCGAATGATTCACAGGTCATAGGGTTGGAGAGGAAAATCATTGAATGGCTTGAGAAAGTATCTGCAGAGAGCGTGAACTGTTTCTTTCGACTGATATTAGCGTAATAGAGAGCAATCTTAAAGTGTTATTATGTTCAATATACGTAACTGAAGAAACGGAAATATTATCTTCGCTTCGTTCATCTAAATCACTATATTCATGATCAACCAATCGTTCGAATGTTATTTCGATGGACACTCTTTTAGATAAGAAACCGAGAACGAAGATTTCTACGATATCGAGTGTTAATGCTATGGAGGCGGATCGAAACGTTTTATTCTTGCTTTAATTAAGCAGCATTAGCTGGACATGAATGGAATGAAACGAAAATGAACATTTAATTTCACTATTTATTTGCAAACTTACATAGTTTCAAGCACAATATGTGACAAACGTTTCTCTCGTAAACAATTGTAAATACACAAATGTAGCCCAGACTTAAGAATGGACATGAAATTGCACCGTGTTTCTAAGGAAACAATAAAATTTCTAGTCTCTCAATTGGCATAATTTTCGAGCCTCTGTTTTGCATAATTTTATTGTTTCAAGAAAACGAGTAATTGCGAGAAAACGCGAATCAATCGGAAAGAAAAAAGAAACCGCAGTTTGTTATGTCAAAGTAAGTACTTTTCCTTCGTTCACGGTTCGCTTCGTGGCCTCTATTTCGCACTTGGTCAAGATCATTTTTTCCCTCGATGACGTGCAATTACCTATTGAGATTCACTGGAACACGACACTGAAAACCACGGAAGAATGATTTAGATCTATTCCGGGGAAAGTATCAAATTCGCTAAAGCGCGGTCTCGTTTGTCAGATATTCCGATCAATCGATTGACGGGAAGAATGTTACTCGTTCTATTTTATTTTCCTGTCGCCATAGACGGGAGCTTTCAACTTTGAAATTATGTCACTAGGTGAGGCGAGATTGCACCTCTCGTTATGATTCGATCCAGGCTCAACCGGACCAATATAAAATAGTAATGTATATTATTAGTTTACGCGGAGACAGCCAATAGAAAAAAGAAATATAACGCGTCGAGAAACTATAATAACGTTAAAAATGGTTGAAAAGCGTATCGTAAACGCCGTGAAAATTATTCCATAAGATAGGACACACGTGGCTGAGAGTTTCGAGCGAAGATTTCACGGCCTGAATACCTTTTTCATAAAAACGAGACGAGTTCGAGCTTGGATCTAGAGTGCTGCTTCGATGATCATTCAAAGTCAAAAATTCTTAAAGATCTTGAAATTTCAATATTTTTAAAACTCGAATAAAATTTGGTTTAATATCAAAAAAACTATCGATATTTTTGTTTTTAATGATAATGAGATGTCTTAATTTAATTGGGAAAATTACAGGAAAGTTTCTCTGGATTAGCGTGTTCCCGCGAACGATTAGCATAATTGAGCGTCGATTGAGCGTAATGGTGCGAACTAAGACGTTTCCGCGTGCACGACACATCGTGGCTTTCGTTTTCGGTTTCGATTGCATGCGCGAACAAGTGGGCCACGTTGCATTTCGACAAATAAATGAAACTCGTGTCGACACTTGAACCTATCTAATAAGAGACAAGTACCATCGGTCTATAACCTTGTTTCCATCGAAGAAAAACGAACAACCATGAATCATGAATTTTTCCACGTGCATGAATATCCTGCGTCGAAGAAATGCAAATGAACCAACAAGTGTTCCTCGATGAGTGACACTATTATAATTCAAAAATTTCGTAGCAGCTCTCATATGAAAGGTTATTAACCCTTCTTCGGATTAAGGAGCCGCAACAGTCTCCGGAATCTTTCAACAAAGCAACGAATAATTTCCTTCGATTCCTTCGCTTTAGTAATGGATAGATTTAGATCATTTCTGTTACCTGACGACAGAAAGCAGTTAAATGGCGCCGGATGAAAAAGTCGGGCGGCCGCGCGTGTCGAGTAATTATACGACAGTAAACGGTATGGAAAAAGTGGAAGTACTCGTGAGATAAATTATGATATCGGTAATTAGAAAGCTCGAGATCATAAAGTGTAATTATTGTCCAATAAACGACGCATTTTCGTCGCGGACTGTTGCTACAGATTAAACTGGATCGGCGTACAAAAATTTAGAAAGTTCAACAGTTCGAATGCACTAAAATCTTCGTCGTCGATGGATGACCCTGTTAAAGCGACAACCCGTAACAAGGCCAAATCCGTGTTACTGTGTACACAATATTTGCAAGTGTGATTGACGTTGTCAATCAGCTGCACAAAAGACAAACAATTAGCATATTGATCAAGTTTCTAAATAAATACAACGTTCGAGAGTGTTGAATAAGCTGGACACTTTTCACGACGATTCGGCTTACTGTACGGAACCAGCATTTCTCTTTGGGTTCATTAGAATCAATTCAAAACTCGATGCCAGACATCGTTATGGTTGATGTTCGAGAGTAGCCATCGATGACAAGCATAATTCGTCCCCTCGTGACATAAATATTAATGCGACCAGTGTTTTTATTAGCGTCACGCGAACAAAACCGGAAACAAGAACACGGAATCGCTTCTGCTTATTTTAATGAGAAGGAATACGAATGTTCTTCCGAAAGACACTGGTGGTTGGTCAAGATGGAACTTAATGGGTGAATGAGAAAAGAGGGAGAAATTTTCCAATTTCAAATCAATTGACCACCGATGCCATTCGAAATACAGAAAGAAAGGGGGAGGAAAATAAAACATTTTTATCTTATTTAACGATTGCTCCCGGAATTGAGTGCAATCTGCCATCTCACGGAGGGTGAGAGAAACAGTTCTACAGGGTTGACACGCGTTTCCACCCCCAGTCGTTCACCCTAATCGATATTCCTATACCAGTTCAATACACTCTGAAAGTGAACAAGCGTAACGAAACGTTTAATTAACTTTTTCTTTCAGATAACATTATCAATTTGTAAACAATTTCAGAATTTCATACAAAACAAACACCATCTTTAGGCGAACGAAACAAACGGCGTGGGTGGTGATTGCGCACGCGTGCACGTTATCGATAAGACTGCAAGGGGGTGGGAAGTTAGAGAACGGATGGGAAAGGTCGAAGAGGGGGCGGATGAAACGATCAAAGTGTCGATGGAAAGATAGAGTGCTCGAAACGATTCAGTCGGCGCCGAGGAACGCAGCGCCTGAGTGTCCTCTGCCGAGGATCACGCTGCTAGGAATCATCCTCGAGCACCAGGAACGAAAGGACAACACCTGTCGAGGTTACGATAACCTTCGTGAGATCGACATAGTCGCGTGGTGGGGTTCGGGACGTGGTCTTGGTGGGAGACGACCAGGTGAAACGGGTTTTACTGATCACAGAAAGAAGGAGTCGCGAGAGTGGAAAGGATCAGCAATATGTCGGGGAGCAAGGATGTCAGCCAACAGACTGACGCTCGCAGAATCGACATCGAGAAACCTTACTGGGATCAGAGCACATACCGTGGAAGGGCGTTGCACTTTCTCACCGTCACTAACCCTTTGAATCTGTTCGTCACTAGCGAACAGCTTGAACATGCTCATGACATCGTCTCCAAATACAGGTATTCAATATGTTTCTTCAATATATCATTTGATAGTGACATAATTAAACAAAATTCTTCATTTTGCACAAATGACATCTGTACCATCGTTAGTACTTACAAGGAAGGGTTTTTAGGTGTCCGCCTCCGATTGTTTTGATTTTTGGATATGTTTTAAAGGATTACTAATATAATTTTTATTAATATTGTAAGCTTTAAATAACTGTATTAATGCCTAGTGTACATGGTAAACGCTAGATATCATAATGGATATTAACCGTACATCCATATCTGGTATGACCGCGACCCGGCTTATGTGCGCAATACATATTTAATTTTAAAATATACAAAAATGTAAAAGGCAAAAAAAGGCATATAATACATCAATGGATTCAGAAACAAATTTATGTTCTTTTTTGTTCTAAACAAATTATTTTTTACAAAATTTATGACCAGCTGTAATATGTTCATAAAAAACCATGAAACTTTTCCTTCGAAAGTTTTCTTCTATCTATGCTAGTTTCCGAGATAGCTTATTATAGCCGAAACTTTAGTGGGTCGTTTCACCCCTTAAGTATGAAAATGGGCAAAAATAAAAAAATACGTATACCTTATTTTTCGGTCCTTTAAAACATATCCAAAAATCAAAACAATCGTAGGCGGACACCTAAAAATCCTTCCTTGTTAGAAACCGTTGTAACGCTATTCTAATAATATAGAAGAACCGGAAAATAAAGTGAAGATGTCGTAAGATTAGAAAAAGTTATCTTGTTTTGATTTATGCCACTATCAATACCGAGAACCGACGTGATCGACGAAGATTTCCTCGACAATGTTTGCACTGATGTTCTTTGATCTAGAATATACATAAAATGTTGTCTTATGTAAAATTGCCTCGTCTTATTAGAAATCTGAAGTTTTAATTGTTATGATGATGTAGGAAAGGAGACAGTTTGCAAAAACTGGGTATCACGGAAGAGGAACTGTGGAAATGTAAATACTTGTACGACAGTGCGTATCATCCTGATACGGGCGAGAGAATGCTGTTGATCGGACGTATGAGCGCCCAGGTTCCAATGAACATGATGATAACCGGCTGTATGTTAACGTTTTACAAGTATGTATCACACACGTTAATCCTCTTGCAATACAATTAATTGGACCGAGAAAACGAGGACGGTTTATCGTGCGACGACCTTGAATAATCCGTGCTTAACGCCTAACTATAACTGGCACGATAAACATAATCGAAACCTTTCACCTTGTTTAGTTTTGAAATCCATCTAATTGTAAACAGAAACAAGTTACAGTCACGTTTTCGAATAGTAAGATAAAAGCGAGTCTGGCTCTAATAGAATTGTCAATGAAAATTTAACGTATATTATAAAATTACTTTTAAATTATAATTAGTATTTAATAAATAAAAACTAAAGCCGTTAGAGTGTTACTTACGCACGGCTCATAAATTTTGAACAGAGACCACACGCGACGTAGTTATCGCGAAATGACAGTGATGGAGGAGGCACAACCGGTTTGTGTTGAATTAAACTAACATTACGCGTTGTTTTATTATTCTTCAGAACAACGGCACACGTGGTAACCTGGCAATGGATTAATCAATCGTTCAATGCCATCGTTAATTACACGAATCGTAGCGGATCGAGCCCGGTACCGATGAACACGATCCTCCAGAGTTACGTGATGGCGACCGGAGGAGCTGTGGCAACAGCCCTTAGCTTGAACCGGCTTTTCCGAAACGCGCCACCCTTGATGGGTCGTTTGGTACCGTTCGCGGCTGTTGCAGCTGCCAATTGCGTTAACATTCCTTTCATGAGGATATCCGAGCTCCAAAACGGTATAGAACTGCAGACAGAGGATGGCAGAAGGGTTGGCACCAGCAAAAAGGCTGCTAAGAAAGCCATCATCGCTGTGACATTATCTCGTATCCTCATGTCTTCTCCAAGCATGCGTAAGCAATTCTTCCTCCAGCCTGAGGTCACTTTGATCGAATTTAAAATTTACCAAACAAATTATTAAGTATTTCTATCCGTCTATCTGTTGCAGTATTGTCGCCAGTTATAGTGAACTTCATGGATCGACGACAAATGCTACGCAACGCAAAATGGGCAGTCACGCCCATACAAGTCTTGATTTGCGGTGTTTGTTTAACATTCGCGACTCCTCTCTGCTGTGCTCTGTTCCATCAAAGAGTACCTATCTCGGTAGACGAATTGGAGCCAGAAGTACAAAAGGAAGTACTTTCGCGCGACAATAGTCTACGAACAGTATACTATAACAAAGGTCTATGAACAATTATTAAGACTATATAAGAAAAATGAAAATGTATCGTAAGTTTGAGACGCGATACAACAGTTCCATGTCAATGTAATTTTTTCACACAAAAAATATAGAGTGTTCGGTTAGGAGTGAGCATTCTTTGAGAGGGTGGTAGCTGGGGTGATTTTTAACAACTTTTTCCTTTACCAAAATGCTCGATAAAGCTTAGTTTTCGAATTATTATTTGAAAACACCGCGTAATCAGAGCGCGCGAGGTGCGCATGCGCGGCTGTTGGAGCGCTGGCTACGAACCGACGCGACGTGCTGAGTAGTTTGTTCCCGACCACAACCGAGCGCGTTTCACGTGGTCCACACTCCTGCAGTTTTTCATTAATAAATTAAAAATTATGCCTGAACGAGCATTGTGTTAGAGGAAAAAGTTGTTTACAATCATCCCAGCTACCATCTCCTCAAAGGATACCAACCCGGTAGCTGAACGCCCTCTACAGGATGTACATTCCGGTGCATTGTAGGCTTCTCTTTGTTAAAGGTAAGTGTATTTGCCTAGTAAAAACTTAAGGAGAGTTTAGTTTACGTTGCACATGACCGTACAAACACATCCTATGTGTGAATGTTACAATCGTTTGCAAAAGCAGCCGAGAATCAACAACAGAGACAATAAAAAATAGTACAATACGTAACCATTTATTGAATACAGATTTATACGCTCAGCTCTTATTCGTTCAATGTTTTTAAGTTTAATTCAAGTTTTCCTCTTATTTCTTCTCCGGTATGCGGATCAAACCTTCGAACTGGTGGTAGATTTCGAAGTTTTCGACCGTATCGACCAGTCTTCCTTTTCCAGAGACCGCTTCTCGGTCGATTACCAAGTTCCCTGTTTCTCTGTGCGCTACCAATGGGTATCGAACTATGTTTCTCGTTCGATAATCTACCAACCGTCGCCATACACGTCTCGTGTAAACTAAATTCCTTCTTGCTCGGCATTTTTATCACCACTCGGTCGTCACCATCGCGTTTCATTACCGTGCCGTATGCTCCAGCAGCGTGGATAAGAGAACCTCCAAGGCCTGGATATTTTTCTACGCAACAAACTGTGGTACCTTTTGGGAGGGCTCCCAACGGATAAGCGTCTCCTTCTTTAGGTCTAACAGGGTTTTCGGGAATAGCTCGATGAGTACGGAGTATATCGCCAGGTTTCATATTCTGCGTGGCAAGAATGTAGTATAACTCGCGTCCACTTCCGACCAAAGCAACGAAAGATGTTCTACATCCGTCCTTGAAAATCTCCAGAACTTTATCTTCCCTTGGTGGTTCTTTCAGGTCGCTTGGTCCATCTCTGACCCATTTGATCCAATGGTATTTGTGCTTGATACCTCCGCCGATACCTTTTGCTACTATTCTTCCTGTTTCGATAAAGAAAATTATAGGGTTAATTTCGAACCAATAGTTGACTGTGACTGGATCGATGATTAAATTACAATCTGAAAACTAGTAATTTTATAACAATTATTATAAAAAACTATTTTATCAACCAGTGGCTCCACCATCGAAGGAAAACAATCCGCATGATGTAAATATACACTCCAAAGAAAAGTAATTTATTTCAATTCATATCGATATTATTAGGCATGACGTGTGCATCGAATAGTTGATAAAAAGGTTCAAAAGATATTAATTTAAACGCTCACCTGTAACAGGATCTCTGCCTGCTAAGTTCGTAACCTTTAAAGGTTCGACAGTGTATTCGTCTTTGAAATGAACGATTCTCCGAAAACTTTTACCATCAACTCCGGGCTCAGGGACTTTCACGAGATTCCATCGATTTCTTTTCGGCTGCACTTGACACACCACTGTTGTTTTGCAACAAATTTCTGCAATTTCTCTTGCAAAAACACGACCTAACAACGACGTGACGGACATGTTGCCACCGAACACACGGTGCTGCTATCTGTTTAGGCTTCTAAATCTTACGTTAGTCGATAGATGTCGCTATAAATGCGTTTAGTGGAGAGTCAGTTTCGAAACGACAGTGCGTGTCGGATAAAGTTTACTCTTAAATTTTGAATTTAGAATTAATTAACATTAGTAAAACAGTGTTTGGTGTGTTAATAGTGATACAATTTGGACGAAATGATTTCCGGTTTGAATCTTGAAGTCAACTACTGGCATTGGTGCTGATAGAACATCCTTCAAACAGATTTGTCATTCACGACGCCATCGATCATCGATTTCCAATAAAAATGGAGAAGAACAGAGTGTGCATCGTAACGTGAGTAATTATTCTTGTTTTAAACTATAATTAAAGGTACTTCTAGACATGTGTTTCAAACTTAGAAAAATATCTGATAACCTCGAATCGCTCCTTAGCTATTACGTTTCAAAACACAATCTTATTGATAAAGGAAACAGCAATGTTTCATCGGATACGTCAGCGAATCCATTATATTTATACGAAAGATGAAACACCGTTATCGGAAATCGATAAATTATTTTTCGTGCTGACGAGCAATGCACCGTCATTTCGTGCGAAATTTTCGTCGGTGCATAAATATAAAATGCATTATCGCGGACAATCGCGTTAAATCTTCGCCGTACAAGCGAAAAACGCGAGTAGCCAGCCGTTAAATAACGATTCGCGCGTATACAGTCTAAAATGGCGGGAAATTGTAGGAACGCAGAAGCGCCCTCATACTTGTTACTTCCATAAGTATATCCGTATTACATTATCATCCTTTTCGAACTAATATTTCATAACGAATACGTGAACTATCCTATTCTATCTAATTCTCGCGTTTACATCAAAGAACTCGAGTGGTCGACCAAAAAATCATCCTCTTAAACGGTGGCACGTTTAATCGCGCTTGAATAATTCGCCGCCTGTTAATCGTATTCTCGGCAGTAGGCTTTTTGAAATAATAATAGCGAGTAAACGTTCGTGTAAGTTGTCGACTCAAAGAAGGTCGCGTTCCACTCGGCCAGAGTAAGAACGTGCACGGGTTACGCGATCCTTCTTCGTGACGAGGGTTGAAGGAATAGAGAGGAAGCGAGAGGAAGCGACAAGAGACGGGTTTCAGGGAGGAACGGAGAGGGAGAACGCTTAATTGGCCTGGGGTAATTATTTTATTAAGTGAGAAGATGGCGGATGGAATGCTAAGAGAGAGCATGCTGGTGCGGTCTGGCGGGTAGGCCGACGAGGGTGTCCGGGGATGGGGTTAGAGGTAGATGGTGGAGGAGGGTGCGAAGGGAGGAGTCGAGCAGTGGCGGCGGCAGGTGACGGTGCGGAGAACGTTTAAAATACCTACGTACCGCGAACGTGAATACGACGGAAGGCAGTTTTACGTATACGCGAACCACGGCCGCAACTTTCGAGGGTGTGTGTATCCGTGCCTCTCGCGTGATTCTCTCATCGTCGCGTACGTTCATGCGCGCTTCCACGGACGGAAAAGCCGCGAGAAAGCTTTCCGCGGGAAACCGAGGGAAAGAGAAAGAGGGAACACCGTAACCGAAGGGGTGAGAAGGAGTCGAAGAGGGAGGTGGTGTCGCTGCTTGCGCGCGCGTTCAACGTTTCTCTGTTGATCGCGAAGGAGGAACATCTACTGGGTGTACCACTCGATCGGGACAATCTATATCTTTCAAATAATTAGAAATTTAAAATACAATTAGACGGCGTTACCTGTGGATATTTTAGAATCAAGTTTATGCACTTTTGTGCATCGCTGCATTCTGCATCCTAAACCTCAATATTTATCTAATAGAAAATCGATAAGAATAAAGAAATATTCTGATTGCATTTAATAAATATGACGAAGAATGTTCATTTTCTCACTATGCAAATGGCACGATTGATTAAAATCAACCGATAGCAAAGTATTTTATATCGATTGATACTAGCAGTTTCTAATGCACCGATGCACAAAAGTGCATAAACTTAATTCCAGAATATGCATCACTCGGCACCACTTAATTTCTTCTTATAACATTTCTTTCTCATTCCGTAACTATTATCAAGATACAGTTTGTCCTAATTGCATGGTACACCCTGTATTAGTTGGTACACGGTCGAGAGGAAGAGGGGGTGGAATCGTCGAGGGAGGGGTACGAGCAAGAGTAGTCGAGCGGCAAATTGTCCGCCATCTTACCCACCTTATACCTTATCTCACACCCTCACCGTAACCACCCTTATCCTCCTTCTTTCGTGGTCTCCTCCTCCAGCCGGTTCTTCTCATCCTACGCACCGTTTTCTCCCTCGCCACCCACTTTCTCCCACCCTCCCGAACCCCTGTATCCTCCATCTTCCTCGCTTTCTCTGACGTTCCACCCTCTCCTCGCCGTGCTGCCGCCTCGAAAGCTTTAGATTACCTACCCCTTATAAGCGCTCGTGTTGCCCATTTATTACCACGACTCTCGCGACTACTACGAGACCACCACCACCACCACCATCACCTCTTCGCTCCCTTCTTTTTCCTTTCTTTTCCCTCTGGCTAGTTGCTTCGTTCCTTCGTCGTTCGCACCCTACCCCCATCCACCACGTTGTTCGTTTATTTCCACCTTTCTTACGTCAAGCCGCGGTTCTCGTTACACTTAACGCTCTCCGCGTTATATACGCGTGCAAGTACCACCAGAAAGTCGGCTAACACGATTAGCCGAATTTGCCGGAAACCGTATGCGCGTCCACGATTCGAACCCGTTTAAATTGGACGTTGAACTTTCGCACGAGATAACGATACTTATTTTCCTTTTCCCTGTTTCAAACAGGGTTTATATGCAATTATACTATAAGTAGTTTCAAATGAATCGTCGGAAAGAATTTTCTTTCGCTCGAGAATGAAGAGGAAAGTTTCCGCTTATCGGCTTGACGCGAGATACCGTCAGAGACGCTTCTCGATATTAGTCACGCGAGGAAAGTTTCGGGGGTGGTGAAAAAAAGCCCTGAGGAGAGTTACGAAAAAAAAAAAAAAAAAGAAAGAAAGAAAGAAAGAACGATGGTCTCGGTCGATGAAACGTTTCCGTAGGGACGAGTTGCGGATGAACTGAGCGCGTTGAAAAAGAAGGAAGAAAATAGCCGCCCGGACACGGCGAGGGACAGAGATCGAACAACGTGGAAAAATAAAAAGTAAAACGGTCGGTGGAGGAAAAAAGAAAGCCGGCCGTAACGTGGAACGAGAAACCGTGGGAGGATGGGGGTTGAAAAGTGCGAGGCGCGGAGATGGCATTTCGCATCGTAAAGTTTTGCAAGCGACCGCGGAACAGAGAGGGAAAAGACGCGAACGGAGAGAACAGTGAGACAGAGGAAAGTAGAAGGACCCGATAGGGAAGCAAAGCGATAAAGAGAGAAACAACCACCGTTGACGAGTGGTTGCTTCGGACCTGTTCTCGTTCGTTTCCTCTCAATTCGCCGAGCGTAGAAGAGCTATCCGCTTCGTAGAAGAGCCGGAGACGAGGCAGGAGGAGAGAATCGAGTTTGATCGGGGAGGATGAGTGAAGAGGGTGCGACAAGAGAAGAGGGAAGAGGAACTGAAACTGGAACTGAGACAAAGAGGGAGCGAGATAAAAGCAGGAACGTAGTGCAAGTATCGCTGGTTCGCGGATGGTAACGCGAATTGGCGAAAGAAAGACAGAAAGAGGGAGAGAAGAGAACGATAGGATGAGAGAGGATTGCCAGGAGGAGGTGAGGAGTCAGGAGGATGCGGTCGAAGGAGGGTGCAAATAATAACAATAATCATATTTCCCGGCAACATGGCCGCTGAAAGAGGGTGGCCGCGCAGCCTGGGTACGCGTAGGAGGGAAAACGAGGTAGGGGTGAGGCAGCCAGCCAGCCAGGGAGGGTTATCATAATATTACAAACCACCGCCGCAGGGATGTATCTATACAACCCCTCGCCCTCGCCGTCGTTCACCAATCCCCACCTCCCTATGTATCTCTGTCCTTTTCGTGACAAGCACGTATCTTGCCGATCCTCATCCTCCAGGATCTGCTGTTCCACTCGGCCTCGCACGGAGATTCACGTACACAGAATAGCCCAAGTCCTTGTACACGATTCGCGTGAATCGTCGGATCCGACAATTGTCGCGTTATACACCCCCACACCCCCTTGACTGCATCAGCTCGTTCTCCGCCTGCCTCGTTCCCTGAATACGATCCCGTAGAAAATCTACATCGGCCAGACATGATCAGCCTTTAGTTTCCACGCCCAATGCACGATCTCGTTTCCACGTAGATATTCGCTTGACGAAACACCACCTCCGACCGACCCCCTGAAAAACCACGAATACGTTCGAGAAAAATAATTACCTATAAATCCAACGCGACGGAATTCAATGCTTTCCCGCCGTTTGTACCGTGGCTCAGCGGTTCGTTTATTTTTATCCGCCACGCAAGGTATTGTCCGCCATTGCTTGTACAGTCTTTCAGCGTCGATTGTCTTTGATCAGAGAACCGAATCAGACATTTTTTTTTTCACCCTTACCAATGAGCTTCAATTCGAAACATTCCGTCGGGGTTTCTCTTTCTCCTTTAATTTATGATAACTCGTATTAATATTGAAATATCGTAATGGCTGAGGTATTAAAATATCGACTGCATTGATTGATTTGCCGTTCGATTGATTGCGAAAGCTTCGGGTCTTTACGTTTCGCCGGCGTTCGTTCGTAATCGAGCGACAGTCGATTTCCAGATTTAATGGGTCGCTTAATCCCCGATGCGTCGGTTTGTCAGCGAGCCGAAGGATTCTTCGGAAAACATCTTAGGAGGCGAGAAGCTGCGGTAGACAGTCTGTCTGTCGAGTTAATTTCATCCAGATGTTTTAAGCCGGCATCGAACGGTTCGTTGACTTTTCCGCGCGAGGAACATCGGCCCTTTTCTAATGGCTTCCTAGATATCCTTGTCGACGAATAGGTCGAGTACAAGTCTGGCCGTGAGCGGGGAACAAAACGGCCTCGCGCTATG